TTGGAAGAGTCAGGAGGTAGGGAATATCTGGGAAGAGATAAGGAAGGGGAAATAGTAATCAGAATATGTTATATTTAAAAACCCTTTATTTTTAATAGAAATATAATAAAAGATTCTAAGTACTATTCTAAAGATTCTCTGTGTGTTGTGTAAACACATTTAGCATCATGAACCAAAATTTTTGAAGAAATGACTTACTTTCAGACTTATTTGACAAGCTAGAGATGGGCTTGTCAAGGTGCCAACCATTTGTTCCATAGGGCATAGTTTTACCCTAAATATTAAGCCATTGGATGTGCTGATTTCCTGGTTGTTTAAACATCTTTCCCACCCCTCTCCACTTACTTGCACAACCATAGACCAGGCCCTGTGGTCATGATGTCTGTAATTTCGTATTTGAAACAACTTAAAAGGAGATGTTCTGAGTCCTGAAAGCCCAGTGGCATATAGCATTGGCCACTGAAGTATTTCTTGGATCTCTGGCAAGCAGTTCCATGGAAATCAATGCCCCAGAATTTACACACAGCTGTCTCTAGCTTAAAGTTCTTCAGAGGAAAAAGTAAGAGCAGTTCTCCCTGCAGTGAGGCCCATGCTGTGTGCTTGCCAAATGGTATCCATAGATGTCCTCACATGTCCAGGGGCGTCCCTCCCCAACAGTGTCTACCTGGCCTATTATCTTTGCTGCTCTATGCTTTTTCTTGGGGACTTTGAGCCTTGCTGTAACCTACAGCCTGTGGGATGAAATGAGTTTTGTCTCTGGCGCTCACTTGGCAGTGGCAGCTTGCTAGACCATCATCTTCTTTGCATCTTGGAGTGAGTCTTCCTACAAACTCGTTCTTTAGAAAACAGCAAATATGCCTAAGGAACTAAATCGTGTGTGCAAAGACGACACGTATTTTAGACATGAAGAAGTATAGAATAGATGTATTCTTTGGGAAAATCCACATTAAATAAAATTAAAACGCCTTATTGGGTATTAGGCTTTCAGCCGTTGTATTTTGTGTTTTGATGGGAACTGTGAGGATTTAAATATATAATGAAATTAAACATCGTCACAGGCGTCCAGTGCTGGACATACCTGTGTTGTTATTATCTTCTTGATTTCATAGGTAAACTAAGATGCCTAGCGGGTAAGAGATACAGACATCCCACACTAAAGAACATTCACTAACAGAGTAGGTGTTTTGTACAAAATGACTCTGTGATATTTGTTCTGCATTGTGTGACCCCCTTAATAGTGAACGTGTTGTTGGCTTTAGCAGAATGTGGGATCACTTTGCCTTTCTGAACCTCACAGCCCTCGTATTCATTGCTTTCTCAAGTTCCTCTCATTTAATTGGTTAACCCTATTGAGACTTACCAGCTGAAGGCTGTAAGGTGGCTTTCTCAGGCACAGAAACTTCTAGACAGATATTAAGAAAACCAAAACAAACATTAGGCTGAGACATAATTGAGATTTAATTGCAACCATCTATCTAATATATATATTTACATTTCATTATACTTATATTATTTTAAATAATATATCTATATTTAAATACATATATTTAACAGAAGTTCACCCCAGACTGTCTAAGAACTACTGTATTTTTTTTGTTCTCCAATTGACCATTGTTCTCTAAGCAAACAAACCACCAAATTCTCAAGAATTTAAATTTAGAGATCTTCAAACCATTATTATATGGTATTGAGAACCAGACCTAAAAAATCATGGTTAGGATCCAAGACAAACTTGGCAACATGATTCAGACTTCACAAAAATGTAGCTATGAGATGTGGAGATGGTTCAGTTATTAAAGGACTTGCTTTGGGAGTGTGGAGACCTGGATCTGGACCCCGGAACCAATATAAACAGCTGGGTATGGCGGCACATGCCTGCAATCCTAGCAAAGACGAGATGGGAGGTAGAGTCAGGTGGGTCCTTGGGAGTTCTCTTGGCCTATATGGTGATGTTCCAGGCCAATGAGAGATCTTATCTCAAACAGAAAGGTGGAAGGTACCTGCCATGGTTTCATTGTAAAATGTTCCCCAGACCTCATGTAGATCGTGCTATCTACAGATAGTAGGTTGATCATGCTATCTGTAGCTAGCAGTGCTCTTGGGGAAGGTTGTGGGATCTTCAAAGGGTGGAACCTTGAGGCCACTGGTGGCAGGCCTTTGTTAGAGAATATTATTTTAAGGTGTGTTACTTTTGTTTATTTTGCATTTGTTTAACTCTGGGAAGCTATGTTACTGTGCCTGTCTAAAACACCTGATAAAGAGCTGATGACTAATAGCAAGGCAGGAGAGAGAAATAGGCTGGCAGGAAGAGAGGATAAATATGAGGAGAAATCTGAGAAAGGCAATTTGGGAATGAGAGGAGGATAAGGACCTCAGGGGCCAGCCACCCAGTCACCCAGTCACCCAGCTACACAGCCAGACATGGACTAAGAAGGAAAGAAAAGGTATACAGGAATAGAGAAAGATAAAAGCCCCGAGGCCAAAGATAGAAGAGATAATTTAAGAAAAACTGACAATAAACAAGCCAAACTAAGGCTGACATTCATAACTAAAAATAAACCTTTATGTATGATTTATTTGGGAGCTGGGTGTGCCCCCCCAAAGCCAAAAGAGTAATAAGAGTAAAATATCTGACAACGGGCCTTGATGCTTTATAGTTTGGCTCCACTTCCTGTTCTAACTTTGAGTGTGGATGCAGTATGAAAAGCAAGATGCCTGATCTTGCCACCATGAGTTCCCTGCTGACTGACACATCTTCCCTGATAGACTTTGTCCTTCTGGAATGGTAAGCTAACATAAGCCCTTTCTCTTTCAAGTTGTTTTTGCTGAGGTATTTTATCATAGCAAAGAGAAAAGTAACTAAGATAGTGCCTGAGGACTAACACCAGAGGTTGTCCTCTGAGCTCCACATAAGTGTAACCATACCCTATGTGTAGTATGGAGTGGCAGGCTATGTTCCCGCCTGGATCCCACATGGCTAGCTTAGCCCCGGAAATAATAACACACAAATTGTATTCTTTTAAACACTGCTCTAGCCTCTTACTGGCTAGCTCTCACATCTTGATTAGCCCATTTCTAATAATCTGTGTAGCACCACGAGGTTGTGGCTTACTGGGATGGATTCTAGCCTGCTTCCATCTCAGAAAGGAGAGCTATGGTGACTGCCTGACTCGGCTTCTTTCTCCCAGCATTCTGTTCAGTCTACTCGGCCTACCTAATTTTCTGTCCTATTAAAGGGCCAAGGCAGTCTCTTTATTTAACCAATGAAATCAACACAAAACAGAAGACTCTCCCACATCACCCATGGATGCACACACACACACACACACACACACACACACACACACCTATGACAGAACAGAAACCAAAGGCTGTAGGTAGGGCTATGGTCTGTTGCCAATGTGGAGAAACTAAAATTAATGAAAACCCTCCGGGGTGCTGGATGGTTTAGAAATTAATTTGTTCTTGCAGAAAACCTGAGTTTGATTCACAAGTGCCTGCAACTATAGCCTGCTTCTTCTGACTACCATGGGCACTTGCACGTAAGAGGCATTACACACACACACACACACACACACACACACACACACACACACGCATGCACGCATGAGCGTGTGCACACACACAAACACACACTTTAAAAATCTTAAGCCACTCTCCAATCACAACTTTGCAGGGCTGATGGCAGAATCTAAATAAGCCAAACATTCTTTTGTCATGTGACCCACCATCATGGCTTCATGTTTTACCCAAGAATATGAATGATATGTCCACACAAAAACTTGGACATTAGACAATTACAGTAGCTCTTTTCATAGCTGCCCAAATTTGGAAGTTGCCAACATGTTTTTCAGCAGGTAAAGGTCTGCCTGTGGGAAGAAAACTTTAAATCTTCCTTTTTCCTTTATAGCCTCTCAGAAAGTAGACTATAAATGAAAAAATTTGAAAATTTCACTTTTATTCTTACTTTTTTTCTCAAGGGAGACAGAAAAAGGAAAGTGTAACACAAACCACTGTTCCTGGAAAGGAAGGAAGGAGGGAATATATAAAGGTGGGAGATGAAGTGAAGAGACAAGTATGGAGTAGTGGGAGGAGATTAGTCAGGAGTGGGAGGGAGAGAGATTAGGCTGGATCTGAAAGAGCGGCATGTTATTTAACTGAGAACCCCGAAGCCTGGCCAGGGCGCTGCATTTACAAAGCCCAACTCATACAGACTTCAGAACTGCTATAAACATGGAATAGCATGGAAATCAAACAGGAGTTTCCTGTGAGCGCTCCACTGTTGCTCACCCAGGCCTTCAGAAGTGAGTGACCTGATCACCCAGGTCTGCAGATGGGCCTTGAGCAACTCCTGTTTTCTTAACATGACTTGGCGCGGAGTTGTAAACCTTGGCTCAGGAGGTCTGGTTTTGCAGTGACCTGCCAAAGAGCCTCACAACTTAGTGCTGGGCACACACTTCGCTGAGGAGCACCGTGAGCCAAATTGGCCTTGGCTCTGCAGAAATGAATGATTCTAAGTTACCAGAAAAAAAAAAAAAAAGGAAAAAGGGTGCCTTCGTTCTGATCATGCAAGTAAAGTGAACTAAAACGGACCAGTTTCCACGTCTCCCATAAGGAAAACAGCAACTGTAGATGAGAGACATATACCTCAAGCCCCAAATTCTGCATAACACTACGATGTTCCTTTCCATTCTTTATTTTCATTTTATTTTTCTGCTTTAGTCTTTTCTTCAAAATAATCATGCCTAAATTATGTTTATGCTGCCATACAGCCTGGCTGTGTATCAGTTATCCTGAGAAATTCTAACGTCAGAATACATTAATCCCAGAATCTGGATCTTCGTCGCATATTCATTCCTCGTGTTTTGGCTAAATCGCCCCATGTCATTGGATTTATTGGTGGCAAGGTTATTTTCCAGTTGTCAAATAACTGTTTTTTCCCTATTTAAGAGTCAGAAATAGAAACAGTCACTCATAAAGGAAGTGAATAATTTGGAACATGAACAACATAAGTATTTATTTGAAAAATCATTTTCCATTGCAGTTAAAATGGCAAATCAGCATTAGCAGTTTCTCACTGCTAATTCTAGTTTGCCCTCACAGTTGCTTCTTTCCATAATATTCAAAGATACTGCTACAGAAACCTGTTTCACAACTTTTCTAGAAAAAAATACAGTCTCTCTACTAGGAAGTTCATTAAAACAATAAAACTGGGCAATAGGAAGCTAATGTATTGAACAAAACTGACGTGAACACAAATAAATAAATATGTACAGGAGAGACATTGCCAATGACAAGGAAAATCTTTACACCGCAGGAAACAGTGACAAGAACGGAGATTGTCTCAGGACCCTAGACCAAAGCTCTGATGCAGCACAGGGAAGAGAGAGGGCGGGGAGTGAGGAACCAGAGTCGGAACTGGTACTGTCTTACAGGCGGGTGGAGGCCGGAGTCTGGCCCTCCAGTGGAATTCCTGCCCAGTCTTCTAAGGGGCCAAATGCACATGAAGCCACATACTTGGAACTGAAGGTAGAATTTGGTTCAGGCTTTGAAATCGACTTGCACCTATTTCTCATCTGGTGTTTCTTCTTCATCAAACATTTTTCAAGTGGAGCTGACATTCTTGCCAGATATGAAAAAATAAAAAAAAGGTTTCTCTCTGATCTGAATACTTGTAAGTGAAACTCAAAAGCAAAGGCATTTTTGAAGCTATGTCATAACTTTTATTAACGAAACATGCACTTTGTGCAGAAGTCTCACAGTAGAAACCTAATGAAAATCTATCGTGATTTTCCTAAGTTTGGGGGAGAAGGTGAATATTTCGTGACTAGCAAGCTTAGATTTCCCCTGTGTATGTATCCTCTGGCACAGTGAGCAGCCTGTTGATACAAACCACAAGCCAAGGGCTGGCTCTAGGGCAGTAAATCTTAGTGACCTTACGATGTACTATCCACTCCTCCTAAAGGGCCTCCTCCTCTGTGAAAGCCAGGCCTAACAACACTCACGTCCACCAATGCCAGTCCAGGCTGTTAGACCAGCAACAACAACCCACCACTACATTCTATCATCTTTGGCAGCCTGGCAAACAGCTTCATGATTGACACTTGGTGAGAGGAGAGGAACCTTCAGCTGTTGCAGAGCCTGCAAGGTCCTGTGTGTGTATATATCTTAGCCAAGCACGACCTGCTTTCTGCACAGAGGTTCAGGTCTGGCCTCTACCCTCTGACTAACTCTGCTAGACTCTCCCTCTTTGTCATCCCTGTGTCACTGACCTGCCAAGCCTGCAACATGGCAGAGAACCCTGAGCAAGGCTAACACAAGCATGTACTGAGGCCGGCGGATAGAATGCCATCACTTGAGAACAACCTATACCCTCCGTAGCAAGTACACCTTGTTTAGGGTCCTTTCGGAGTTAAGTGAGCTGCTGAATGCCTTGCATGACTTGCATGCTGCAGTCTGATCCATAAATATTACACCATAGAATAGTATATCGCACCAGCCCTCCTTAGACACTCTGATTGCAGGACTCAGTGCAAATAGTTTTTAGACTAGCTGTTGTAGATCTACATATTTCTAAGTTATTTTGATGAGCCAAGACAGCTGTATGTCTCACCATTTGTTCTTTAGAAGAAAATTATCACTGGGGGAAGTCAGAGGTCTCTGAGTGGATGCGATCTGAAATGTCTTAAAATCATTAAAGCAGGGATAGGCTCACATAGTCTCAAAAGTGTGTTCTCTCAGTGGTGAGAGGTCATGGCACACAGGGTGCTTAACTGGAATTCTCATTCTTCTCTTGAACCTGTGGGCCCAATGAAGAGTGAAGGAGGACCCGGGAGGGTGTGAGGGAAGGTAAACCTATTCGTTCTTAACTCTCAGGAGGCCCACTTTATGCCAAGGGCACATTCAGCTGGATTCATGTGTGGGGGACGATGGTGATGCTTAAGCTCTATGACTTGAGATACTAGAAATTTATACAGCATATTAATGAGGTCAAATTTCTGAAATACTCTTTTAGCAAATTATTTTCACGAAAGTTAAATATTTGACATAAGGAAAAAAATCACATTTAATATTATATGGGTCAAATATTAAACATCTTTTCTACTTATGTTGAAAATTTCACTGAAAAAAAAGAAAGAGATGCTGCTATATTCATAGAAAATAGCATTGGAACAGAACCCATGAGCATCCCAAATCACTACAAACATTAATTAGTGTGTTTTCTACTTAGTCTTTATGAAAGTCAGGGCACATCCAAGCATCTTACATCCAGGTGCGATGGGGTAGATGAGATCTCAACTAGAATTCACTCTTGGGTTTCTTCCTCTTGTATCTTCTGATTTTAATGCCTTTTCCCTCAAATTCTGATGAGTTTGATTGAGTTACTCATTCTAAGAAGTCCTGTCTCCTTGCGGTGTTCAGCGTGCTTTCAGTTCTGAAGTGTGATGACTGAAGCTTGTCCACAGAAGAAATATTCTGAAAAGATGAATGCTGGATCCCACAAGAGCTTCTCTAACAAGATCCAGTCCTCAAGGCTCCGCAGTTACCTAGGGAACAGCACACTGCCTTCTGTTGGGCACAGCTTTCTCTGCTTGTAAAGGTTTACAGTTCTCCAGACAGATTCTTTCCCCCCCTCATACATTAAAACTTTGTACTGTGGCTGAATGTATCTGACAGGATAATATTTTTATAGAAGTTATCTGAATGAGCATTACAGTAACCTTTGACCTTATCAATAACCTGATGGACAGGGATGATTGACGTCTGCTCTCCACCAGCGTGGGTCAGTTTTGACAACGACTTGTCCATGGAACTGCTGTCTGTAAGAAAGGATACGAGAGATTCAGTTGCAGGATGAGCAAGTGACAAGGCTGAGCCGTGACATTCAATGAGCACACTAAGGAGTGGGTGCCCTGGGCTCCCTGACAGGTTAGGGAATAGGCAGCCCTCAAATACAATCCCCCTTCAAATGCACTTTTAATAGTCTTGAATATCAACTTACTTTCAAGTAATTTCTGTCATGGCTTGTTACAACAAAATATTCCCTCAAATGCTGTTTTTCAGAGTTAATGAATAAAAAGAGTTGAACCTTTTTTTCCCGAAAATATATGCACCAAACGGCCCCAAAGTCAGAAATGATTTAAAAATTGAATTAAAATACTCATGAAAAAAGATGTGATATCTGAGATATGTTTTACAAATAATATGGAGTAGGGAAAAATGAAAATATAGCTACCTCTGAGTTTACTCATGCATCTAGACTCACTACACTCTACTTGATATGTAAATTTGACACTGCCATAAAACTTTTTGACAAAATTTAGTTGAAGTGGTTTTGGAGGATGAATGTGAATTTAAGTAAACGTGAAAGACTACTGAGTGCATTTCCTCGTGATTGCTGGTTGTGAGATGAACGGAAGAGAACAGAAACATTATGGTTATAAAATCAAAATTCTCCTCACTGGAAAGATTCCAGAAGCAATAATATCAGAGATATCAATAGCAATTGAGGACCACTCAATAAACGTTTAGAATTTTTTTTTGTCTTAGATAAGTATATTCTAGTTTTCTCCAGATTCAGAAACTTTAAAATTGGTTCAGGTAATGCTCTGAAAGCTGAAATTCATACCACTCTTATTATCTATATAAACATTTGTGTTTCTATGAATATAATCAGCACCTCTCTTCCCACTCCTGGTATACTTTGGGGAAAGTTTTACCCTCTGATTAACCAAAGTACAAACTTCAGAGTGATGATAGAGAAAAACATGGCTTCATTATAGTCATATAGTCAGCAAGAAAATGCTGCCCCCAAACACTGATGTCAGTAGCCAGAGCTTCCTCCAAAATTGAAGTATTTATGACAAGCCTTTTATGTTTTGAGTAAAATGGGCCCCCATATGTGAAATGATCTGTAAAACACATCAGTAAGTGACCAAAGTCAAAGTCATCTTCATGGTATCTGCTGCTCCACTACTGTTCTGTCTTAGGACAAACACCAAGTCAAAAGTGGCCTAAAACGGGAAATGGGTGGTGTCTTCCCCTACTAAAGGAGAAGGAGAGATGATTCATGGGAAGATGGGCAGATGGAACGACAGAGTGACTGAAGCGAGTCCTAGCACTGATTAGAAAAAGCCTGGAGGGCCGCAGATAAGGTCCTGCCCATGAAGCTCTCAGCAAGCTGACTCATTTTGTGCTTCCTTTGGGTTCCCAGATTCTCTAGCCACTGGTTTTCTGTTGAGGATTTTTTTTTTCTTAAGCATAAATAAGAAATAATCTGTGCTTGACTTTTTTTTTTTTTAAATCAAACCACAGGTCCTTAGAGAAATGTTGAGGATGCATCCATTCTTCCTGGACAGTTTCGAAGGGCATGTATTTTTAGAGACTGTAACTGGCTCCATTCCAAATACACGATCACACTGGATGGCTCTCCATACTCTACTAGAGTAGAACTCTGTGTTTATGTATCCAATACATCACATTCACACACAGTGTCCCATGGCTTCTGGCTAAATATCACATTATGAGTAGCAAAGATTTAGATTGCATATCTGAAAATCAGGGGCTAGAGATACGAACCATTATTTGACATCTACTGAAGGGCTCAAGCAGATCAAAATAATCACCACAAAGCAGCTTGCCATCGACCAATTTCTCATTCAGGACTTCTACGAATGTACCATGGCATACCCAGTAATCCAAAAGATATTGAAAAGCAAAAAAAGAAAAAAAAACTCACATCATAACAACAAGTTTATTATGTACTTCTTTTTTTTTCTGTCATTATATTACACGATATGTGACCCATTCTTCTGGAGCATGGGACAGATGGTACATTGCTTAGAAGGCACGCCTTGCACACCCCATGCAGAGAAGAGCTGGCACAGCCCACTACGGAAATGTCAGATTCCAGCTCAGTGCAGGAGTACCATTGTGCTAGCTGCGAGGTTCTGTAAAGAGTAAGCCATGGCGCTAGTGCAGCAAGGCCCTTAGCTTAGTCCATGCAGACATTCTCATTACCTTGTACAAATTCATGCATCCAAGAGGAGCAGTATAAATTACCTGAATATTCCACTTTTGTTGAAGGAATTCTCTTAGGAGAAATTATCTACACCATAAACATATGAATATCTAGATCAGTTCCAAGAAATAAACCAACTATGTATTTCTGAGGTATTTCGGCCGCTTTCGGCACACCCCAAGCCATCCTCAGTAGGCAGCCATGCCACTAACAACTGGCAGGGATTAGACTTGCAAATAACCTATAACTCGAGTGTTTGCAATATGGGCAAGAATAGACACTTCACCTATCATTCCCCTTCTTTAGAAAAATGTCAAATACTAGTGTGTCCAGTGCCACACACCACTGCTCATGGGTAATAACCAAGTGGAGTAAACATTTTAAACGTATTTCTTTAGGAATGCAGTGTGTGCCAAGACACTACGGCTGTCTGTCAAGGGCTTAATTAGTATTGAGAACTAGACATCCTATCATTTCTCTTTGAAGTTACAAGTTTAAACCTGTCACATAGCTCACCATCAACCTCAAGTACTGCAAACCGTTATTTCCCGGTTGTCGGCAGGATTATTTGGGTATATGCTAGGGTCGGAACATGCCGCCACAGTAGCTGCACTGAACAAGCAGGACACAAACCAAAGCGACATTTCTGACAGTCCTTATTTTAAATTTAAAATTTACAACGACGCTGAATGAAGTCTCTAGGTGGATTGTTCAGTTCATGGGAATCTACAGCCACCCTCTAGCATAAGTCAGTTTTGTGAGGGAAAGAACCAGGGAAAAGCTTTACATGGCCAGGGATGACTCACATGAGTGACTGTTTCTTTTGAAATAGGTGGTGGAGCTGGATTTTGATTTGGATGTGAGGTATGTTGAGTTGGAGCCAATGGAACTTGAAGATAAAGATTTCCCCAGGTTATCGGAGCTCTTCTTGATGATGTTGGTAGCCGTCTTGCTCCAATCTGAAAGAACGAAGGAGAAGATTCTATTAGTAGGCTTAGAGAAAATACAAGCTGTCTCAGAAACCCATCACTGTGTCATCTAATCTATCAAGAGCAGCCAGTTTCCCAGTACATGCAGCGACTTAAGAGATACTGACATGGAAATTGTAAGAGCCTGGGGACAGAGAACTGTCTCGTTTTGACCCCCATGCAGAGGGTATTTCGTCTCCCACTTCAATATCCTATAGGTGAGAAATATATACAGATGTTTAAAAAGTTAGTGGCATTTTCCTTCAAATGTTATGTACTCTGAAAACAGTCTCTTCACCTAAAATTCAACCGAGAGCATAATACCATGGCAAGGTGGGTCTATTGTAGTGGAACCTGCAGCCAAATTGTCAAATTAGATGTCAAAACTTGAGCAATTTTTAAACTTCTCAAGGATCCTACAGCATTCAAAGATGGGGCCCAATACAGAACGTTCCAAGATTTCAACTCGGCAACCTCACATACCCTGTACTGTAGCCTCTTGGGGGGGGGGGGGGTTGCTGCTCTGACAAGGTAAGGCGGGATGCTCATGGTTTCAGCTGTTTCTCCAAACCCACTTAATCCAGTGCCCTTACCTGAATTGTCTGCTAGCCGAAACCTGCCACAGCACAGATGGCGCCTCCACTGTTTTTGAACATTCTCCTTCATGGCGCAGTGGAAGATAAATATAAATAACCCTATAATAAGAGAACGTGTGAATACTTAAGACAAATGGCACATTTTAAAGGATAAATAATAAGTCTGTGGAATTCTCTTCTTATTTTAGAACTAAGTCAATGAGAGACAAATATCTTAAGTAATGAAATCTTAGTGCATGCAGTAGGCAGTTCAGTCTTCTACAGAATATCACATAGACTTGTCTAAATTCAGAATGAATCCATGGACTCTGTCTTTGCCTGTTCAGTATCCCTTATGACTCAACTACACTCCTAAGATCCAACAATGCTTTTCATCATTGACTTCATTCCCATCTCTCCACCACAAGATTTCAACACACACAGCTTGTGGGATGTCTTGCCTTGGCTGAATCTTCTCCATCTCAAGCTTCAGATATTGACAGAAGTCATGACTATGACCCCCAACCACGTGAACACTCTTCTGTTTCTCAATGTATAAATAAGGCTTGTTCTCACCAAACACCATCCTGACCACTCTTTCTTCAGATCTTTAGTAATAGCCTTCTGCCTCAGATCACCCACTAACTCTCTAGAGAGGCCACTATCTGAAGTTATAATTCATTCTTAATTTAGTCCCCTACTCTTCCTCTATTGTGCACGCTGATCAGTACATGGTGGTCTTGTATTTCTTGTATGGCCATTTGTTTTTATGATTATCTGTTACCAGTGGGCAACAAAGATCCAAATAGAGTTGTTCATCTGTTGGTCCGTGTGCTCTAGCTGTTCCTGGAATGATGCTAGGAATTGTATAGCAAATAAATGAATGTTTCCTTAACAAGTGAATAATAGCAACCAGGTTAATGAGATGAATTCAGTCTGTGTTCAATAAGTGAATATATGCTCATTTTAATGGATGATATGTGATTAGAAGTAGGGAGTCAAAAATAAGACCTATGTATGGACTGGGGAGATTGCTGAGTGGGTAAAGTACCTGCTTTAAAACCATGAAGACAGGAGTTCAGATCCCTATATCCACCATAAATGCTAAGTGGACAGGATGATGGAGACATGGGATCCCCAGAGCAAGCTGGCTTGCCAGATTAGCTATTCTGATTATCTTTAGGTTCAAAGGAGTGACCCCACCTCAACAAATAAGGTAGAAATCAGGTAAGACATCCAATGTCAACCGTGGGCCTACACAGATGCATGAATGTGTGTGTGTGTGTGTGTGTGTATGTGTGCGCGCAAATGTACATGTGCATGTGCAAATGTACACCATATACACTCACACCTGAACATAAAGACCATGCATGCATAGTAGCTGACAATGGTGCAGTAGGGGTACACACAAAACTTTGAAGACTGAATCAAGAGGGTAAGTTCAAGGCTAGCCTGGGCTACATTGGGAAACCTTGTTATAAAACAAAACAAATAAAAATATAATAGACTGAGTTCCATGCAAATTAAAGGATATAGGACAATAATGACAATGCTTTAAAGGCAAAAGTTTCTGAAAAACACACCAGTGAATTTTGAGGTAAAACCCTTGCTTTATACTATGCTAGTGACAGTGTTGATATGTCTAAACGAGGAAGGGCCTTACAGAAGAAGCAGGCTGCAATGGAATCTTTAAAATGCTTAGAGTGGAAGGGAGGTAAAGGAGACTTCTAGAAGGTTTATTTGTGCAGTGACTATCTTCAAAGCACTGAATCTGACATTTGGAATTTTCAGGAAGAATAAGGTTGATCCTTAATTTCATGGATCCAAGAATCTTGCAGAGTGTCATAAAAGTAAAATTATTATAGTATTGTTAAAGGACAATTAAGCTTATCAGTTGCTTTTGAATATGGAGTATTCATTAAGCAAACTCAACTATACCCTAGCTTGCATAATTAAAAAATTGCGGGCAGGCAAGAGAGATCGCTCAGTGAATAAAGTGCTTGACACTCAAGGCTAGAGACCTGAGTTTGATCCTCAGAATTCATGTAAAGGTGGAAAGAGAGCGCCAACTCTGTGAAGCTATTCTCTGACCTCCACGTGTGTGCTATACAGCATGTTTGTGCCCCTGAAGCATACACACATACACCAATAATAAATAAGATAAAGTTTCAAAAAGATAGCACAAGAAAGGTTTGACAGTCCAATATGTATAGTTAACTTTGCAAAATCTTTATGTCACACAATTCAGAATTATATTTTAGAATAAATGACAACAGGGATGAAGCCCTCTGGATTTCTGTTCTAGCCTTGATATTAGCAGAATATCTCTGGCTGTCTTCCTCTGCAATTAGCTTCCCTCTGTATTTTGTAACACATGTGTTTTTACATGTCAAACGGACGGGAGAAAAGAAACTTCAGAAGTTGTTTATGAGATTTTCAGGACACTAGAAAAGAGCTAAGCTGTAAATTTGACTTTTTGAACTTTTAAGGATCTAAAATATGAATTATTTTAAGAATTTCATGCAGACCATAGTCAAAGAGGATGAGTTCAAAGATAAAACGGACTCAGTGACACATTTTTAAAGAGCTAAAAACCTAGTGCAATCTACATTTCCAGGAATCCACAAGGGTGACCCTAGCTAAGATTCCTAGCAATGGGGGATGTGGAGCCTGAACTGGTGGCTATTTGCTCAACCCAGGCAAGACTTTTCCAGTGGAGGAATTGGGACACCAACCCAGCCACAAATCCTTTGAACTACAATTTGTCCTGACTACAAAATGTGGAATTGTGGGAGTGGCCAACCAGGGAAGGGACTGGAAGGAGAGGAGGGAGGGGAAACCTTGGTAGAAAAGTGTGTGTGTGTGTGTGTGTGTGTGTGTGTGTGTGTGTGTGTATAACCAGGGTTAAGGACTAGCGAGATGAACAGACAATATCAGTTTAATTCCATCATCCACATAGGGACTAACAACTGTCTATGACTCCATTTCCAGGGGATCTGGTGTCTTCTGGCCTCTGAGGGTAACACACACACACACGATACACAGACTTACATGCAGACAAAACAACCATACACATAAAAATAAACAAATATTTAAAAAGTAGTCTGGGTAACCTTGTTCTACATCACAATTATGTATCAAGAGCTGACCCTGCATTTTTAACCAGCTTTGATTATAGTAAATACATAGGCATCAGTTAAGTTTAGATTAAATTCTGACACATCTCTAAAATTATATGATAGAAAATAGTTGTATAAAAGCTCCATTTTCTACTACAAGTTGTGGTCAAAATTAGATAATAATATTGAGAAATGAGTAAATATTAGTAAGGATTTTATTGAAATTTCAATGCATTATATTTATTATCGAAAAAAAAAAACAAGAAATTTTCACCCTGAGACATCATTTCCAGGCCAAATCAGAATAAAAATCCCCTCATAGGTTGCTTTGTTCTTTGCAGCAATGAATTTAAGCTTCTCGTGTAAATTTAAGCTAATCAAACAATAGATATGATAACAGAACATTTTTCAGGGAAAAAAATGTTTGTTTTAAAGTTCAGCCATGAGAAATGTGATAGAATCCACGTTTTATTTTAAGCCTTTTTAAGAAACAGTATATAAAATAAAACCATGAGAGCTAACAACAGGTGGAGGCTAAGAAAGAAAATTGACCCGTATTTACTCTCCCTCTCTCTCTCTTTCCCTCCCTCCCTCCCTCCCTCCCTCCCTCCCTCCCTCCCTCCCCCCTTCCCTTCCCTTCCCTTCCCTTTCCTTCCCTTCTTCCCTTCCCTTCCCTTCCCTTCCCTTCCCTTCCCTTCCCTTCCCTTCCCTTCCCTTCCCTTCCCTTCCCTTCCCTTTCCTTCCCTTCTTCCTTTCCCTTCCCTTCCCTTCCCTTCCCTTCCCTTCCCTTCCCTTCCCTTTCCTTCCCTTCTTCCTTCCCCTTCCCTTCTTTTCCCTTCCCTTCCCTTCCCTTCCCTTCCCTTCCTTTCTTTCGCTTTTGAGACAGGATTTCTCTGTGTAACAGTCCTCGTTGTTCTGGAACTAACTTTTTGTAGATCAGATTGGCTTTGATCTCACCTGCCTCTGCCTTTGTCTCTGGAATACTAGGATTAAATGTGTGTGCCACTACCACTCAGCTCTGTATTCCCTCTTAAATGCTGAGGTTTTCCCCATATACTTAGATATCATGGTACCAGAAGAAGTTAGCTTCACAATCATAATCGGGCTTCCATTGCATTCTAAGGAATCCATTCCATTTCCCACCCAACCTCCATCCTCTATCCATGTTTCTGCCTTTGAGGTAATTCATTCCACCTAGCAAACGTATGGTCCCCAGCTTTCTGCAAAGAGCTTCATCTGTGACTGGAGTAGTAATGAGGAAGTTTCACTTCTCTTGGTCCCTTCAGCTTTACTGAACTGATGACTAAGAGACATCTCAGTGAGTTTGGAAGCCCATACAGCCAAAAGATTGAATTCAAAATTAAAGCTTTTGCTTCATCTTGATTAGTAAGTGCTAAATTCATGAGTCCTTTCTATTATAAAACAAACAATAAACCAACCAAACAACAATAAAAAACAAACAAACAAAAAACAAGAGCCTACTGCTACCCATTGTCTTTTTGGGTGAATTTAAGCCTAGCCTGAGAGACTACCACTCAAAGGAATCCAAGCCAGGATTCCTTAGCAACAGTTGCTTCACCTTGTAAACTACCTTGCTCATTTAATTCGCCTACTTGAAACCACTCCACGCTAGATGAGCACACCAGATTTGAAGCCACTCCTTTCCCTCTCATTTCTGCCACTCCACGCCTTCATTAGCATCCATCTTAGCCTCCGTCTTCCACGAGATACTCACTTCACACCAACACACCACTATGATGCAAGAACTCAAAATTTCTTAATTCCCAGTAAACATGGCAATGTTATTCCATTTTAAATTAATAATATTTCCAGCTGGGCTGAAGAAGGACAAATACTGTAACACATGTGGGGGAAGCAGGGCTCACTATGGGGATTCTGAAGGTAGAGAATGTAATAAACTCTACCTTATCATGACCTTTGATAACCTGGGCTAGCTATGTAAACAGTGCAGGAAGATGGTGAGCGCTCTGATTCTGGGGAAAGGAAACAGTCTAAAAAAATCTTCTGAAGGATTAGGTTTTGTTCCTTGTTCCTAATCCTGTCATCAAATCCAGAATCTTAGCCCCTTAGAAAAGAAATAAAACCCGGCTTTTAAATTCTGGCATCATATTCATTGTGGATTATATGACTTGCCTTTAATCTTGATCCTTATGGAGCTATTTATCTATTTTTGGGGGGAAAGATATTTTCGTTAGAAATTTGACTCCCATGTAGAATTCATTCCCTTTGCTTCAAGCAGGCAGAAACATGGCTTTCAGGAGTCCATGTAACATGAGTAGCTATTTCTGATGTTGAGTCCAATTAAAAAGAAATGCCAGAAAGAGTTTCCCTAGATATAAGGGGGTAAAGTCGAAGTCAGTTAAGTGGCCACCTGTCACTGTTCCAAAAGGCCTCATGCAAGTCCAGATGGAGGGGAGATGATAGTTTTGACTGCTCATCTCTTAGAGCAGTTTAGTATCTAGAGGCAAAAAAAAAACCCTAAAAACAAAAACAAAAACAAAACAAAACATTCCAAGAAAGTAAACAACAAATTTGGACTAAAAGCAAAAAAGCCCAAATTCACCTTTTCTGAACCTGAATGACAAACCAATTGAAACACAGAGGGAAGATGTAAACTTTAACATATCATCATAAAAACTACTTCAGGGGTTTGAGGGAGGGTCAGGTGAATAGCTTTGAGTGACTGGGTCTTAGCTCATGAATGTAAATTTTAGACTTTTGATAGAAAAATCAGTCAATAATTCATCAAGTCAGCTATTGGAAAGGAAGAAGCAGTGTGCGCTACATTCGTGGCCCTTGGTGAAACAGCCTGGATGGCTTCTAAGCTCTGGAGGGACTCTAAACACAAGACTGACCACTTCCCAGGTGTGCTTGCCACTCAAACAAAGCCAGCTATTGTTAAGTTGGGTTTCTGGCTGGTTTTGGAAATGTGTTTTGGCTTTTCCTTTCATACTACAAAGACTCCCTTTACAAAATTATTTCTCTGTGGCACGACATGCCTAGTCAAAGGATGAGCAATATATTTCCTTGCAGTGTGTCACATTGCATCCCACTTGGTGTTGGTTCGGGTGTCTGGAGTTGAAAGGCGGGCCATCTTTACCTTGGCAGCAATTACACATGTGCATTGTGTGTGTTGCTGTGTCATAGCTTAAAACTTGCAGAAGGCTCCAACCGGGCAAGGGAAATTCAGCAATTAATTTAGTGCATCTCAAAAATCTAACTTAATGTCTCAGTCTGCCCGTGGGATCGAAACCAATGACGGTTCCTGTTGAATAACAAATTAAATTCCCATTAAGTTATTAAAAGTGTATTTGCTAGCTTTTTAATAAATGGAGGTAGATATTCACTTCCTAAATGAAGAGACTGACATGAACTGAGGGGTAGTTAAGGAATTTGCTTTAGTTCTCTTTCTATTGAAAACTATACCTTTTATACTCTGTCACCTATTAATGTGCTCTCTAACTGTCACATATATATTATTAATATTTCATTGTCAGATCCCAACTGATCTTGGGAAAGTCATTGACTTTCTTACTATAAGTCTACCCTTTAAAAAACAAAACTATATCCTTTGCTGAAGTTCCTGCTTTTCAGACTTTTGAGGCTGATAGTAAAAGCACACATGTTAGATGGAAGTATTTCATTAACTCTCATGCCCTACAAAAAGGCACATGATTTCTGTTGCTCCAGGTATCTTAATGTTACAATGTGAGTAGTGGCAGACATCTGTGAGCAGACTGATACTCCTTTATTTGTGTGTGTTCTCCATAGCACCTTCTGATTGCAGAACTATGGAATGCATGAATTATGTTCTCACATTTGGGTACATGAGAGGGCCTGGTTGTACTTGACTGCTAATGGATATTGTTGTCTATTTCTGGAAATAGAAAATGGAGGATCAAGTTTCAGGCATGAAACTTTTTAACTTGTTGAACTTGTTAGGAAAGTCAAAATGCTCCATATGTTCGAGAAGTATCAAAGGGGATGGGATCATACAGAATTTAGACAGTAGTTGAATCAAATCATCCTTCCTTTCTGATGTTCTTCATTTCAGAAAAAAAAGAGAATTTTCTCAGTTTCATTGCCTCATGAAGCTTACTCTATTGCCCCTTTAAAAATAGAGCCTCCTTATGTAACTCAGAGTGACCCAGAAGTCAGTATCTTTCTGTTCCTGCTCCTGAACTATGGGATTACCACCCCACAAGACTCTACATGCTTCAAATAAAGCATAAAATTCTTACCAAAAAAGCCTCATCTTAAAGTTAAAAACTAGCTCACCAATGAAAGCCATTAAAAATGTATATACTGTTCCAGGAAGTTTTCATTTGGCCTGGCTGATGAAATAATTGTCCATAGAATCATGTCTTCAGCATCAAGGTCTCTGCATTTAAATCTTGTTTAGGGGATGTTTTCAATATCCTCGGACATGGATAAAGTTGTTCTCAATGTGTATGATTTAAAAATCAGCCTTAAAGTCAGTGATTTATGAAGAACACTGACTTGATGAGGGCTGACATTTTCCCCTCTCATCAGGAGACCCGTGCTAGGAAAATCAAAGCATCCCAATTCTCATGAATAGAAACGGCCTGTACTGACAGCTGGAGCTGTTGAAGTTTACGCCAGGAAATTCTAACAGCGAACCAAGGTTGGGCTGGCAGATGACTGTGCCTTTCATGTACAGTCCTGAAATATAAAACCTTGGAATTCCTAATGTGACTGGACACTCCTGTCAATATTTACTTGGGCACTTTTATGTAGTGTATCATAAAAGAGAATAAATGGAGGAATTTTGCCTTTGCTGAGCCGGATCGCTGTTTAGACATATTCATACACTATGAATTTAACTTCCAACTTAAGGATATACTCTTGAGACTTATTATTCTACATATTCATGATAACAAGCCTGCATATTTTGCCTGTTATGAGCCTGAATATCTTTGCTGAATTAATTAATGAGTATTTATGCCAGAGGCATCTCAGATTGGATCTAGGCCATGCCTAGGAGAAGATCCTCTCCTTTCCCTCATCCAGCAATCCATGTATTTAACAGTCACTACGCATCTACTTTGTGACAATTGTTTCAGTTCAAAAACTAGCAGAAGTTTAAGGGCGGTGAGTCATACTTTCCTTCAGAAAAGTGCAGACATTTTAGACACAGCAAGAGGGAATACCCAGTAAAATGACAGAATTTTGAGGAGTACAACACTGCTTTCTACCCCAGCTCAGATTTGTGTGGATTTATTTAGGTGTTCTTCTGCACATCCATAACTGTATGAGTAGCTTCAGTAAAACTGATAGTGTTCTCACTGAAAATAGCCCAGGCTCTGAAGGTAGGGATGCTGGAGGCCTCTAATCCTAGCACTCAGGTGACTGAAGTAGGACTTGGAGTTTGAGGCCAGCTGGGACTGCACAGTGAAACACACACACACACACACACACACACACACACACACACACACGCGGGTGGACATATCGGACTGTGCCGTTTAATTTCTTGTGATGTGTTGTCCTCATGGTGCTTCAATACGCAAAAGAGTTTTGTCATAAGAATTGAGATTGTCTGGCATCTTCAAGAATTTTATCGAAAGACTCAGAAAGTCGTTCAGAGGTGGACATGTGTGAAGCCCTAGGCTTAATCTTCAGCACCACAAAGGAAGGAAAGCTATTAAATTTTTCAAGTTGTAACTGAAAAACTGACAGAAGTCCATTTAGAGGAGACCAGACAGTGTGTCATGGAATCAAAACTACAATTGCATGGCCAGGTATGGAGATACAGTAGGCAGAGGCAGGTGGATCTCTGTGAGCTAGAGGCCACTGGTCTATATGGAAAGTTCTAGACTAGCTATGACTACATACTGAGACCATTTCTCTTGGTCACTCTCTCTCTTTCATTGGTGTGTGTATGTATATATGTATGTTCTCTAAAGCAGAACATCTGTATGTTTGATAGGTTGAGTTAATTTCTGTATCTCATAAAAAGACAAGTTTCTGAATTTGAGTTGGATTTCATTTTTAAACCTGGGGACCTTAGGGGGTGAGGTGAACTGCTGTGCCATGAATGGAAAACCTACACAGTTTGCACGAAGGCAGCAGCAGCAGTAGCAGCCTGAACTAGAAAGAAGACAAAAGTTGACGGTGGGCCCTTAAACTTCTGGTTAGGTCGTCAGCTAACACTTCATGCTGCTCCATACTCCTTTGCATGATGCTATATTTATCTACCAGGCACTGTAGATTACCTGGAATATTCAAAGCTTTTGAATGAATGTTCATTTGTGCCTGAAACTGTGCTCGACAACTACAATAGTAATAGAAAATTGACCTGTTCTGTCAAAAGGGAAACTGTCCACAAATATGATAAAATAAGAAAGCAGCCACTGCTCGGGTACTGTTCATCTTACCTTGTAAAGAATTGAAGATGGAGAAGAGGTACATGAAAGGGATATTTAAGGGTCCCCAAGCAAAGAAAGCAAAACCCCACGTCATGCCCAGCAGGAAGGTCAGGCTGACCACGCTACGCAGGTTCCTTAAAACCTCTTCTCTCAGGGTCCGGTTGCTTCTCTTTCCGTTCCTCCCACAGATCTGTACCATGACCACAATGAACATGGCAACGTTCAGGAAGAACATGATTCCAAAGTACCCGGCACAGCTCACATAAAATACCACAGGATCCTGAATCCAGCAACTTAAAGGAAAAGAAACAAGAACTTGATAAAAGAGTTTGGCCACCACGCCCTGTTTACTCGTGACTTTCCTCGACCTGGTTTACACAGCTTGTAGAGTTCTTTCTGAAACACCTCTGAAAAGTCCGCTCACTTCCGTGGACTCCAGTTTCTGCTTTGATCCTTTCAAAGGTGGTTTTTTTGTTCGGGTAGTTTTGGATCCTTGCTGTCTTAATCTCCTTATTTAAGTCAACATTAAAAAGCAAATGAGGTTGCTTGTTGAATTCTGATTGGTATGAGTGTATGCTTGTTTGGCTGGTCCTAACCACAATGACCCTCTTCCTCTTGTGTGTCCTTAGTCTAACAATGGGGATTTTCAGAACTCAGTTTTGCTGTCCTTTCCTGTCAAGGGGTGGCTGTGCTGACACCATTATAAAAAAAAAAATAAATAACATGGAAGCAGAAGTCTGCTAAGAGATTTTTGTGAGAGCCATGGTATTACAGCTGTCTACTTATGCCAATGTGAAAGAAGCCAGGAGAGGTGCTGAGAAGTTGGCCCTGGTGGATTTTAGCCACAACATCAATGCTAGTAGTCGCCTATATTTTTAGTTCCTTGTCATCTATGATTAGAAAATTTATACTTCTTTTTCACACTGAATTGAGAATTTAGGATACAAAGTGATTATTATTTATATTACTGTTCTAGTTGCAGCAAATATTATGGAATTAAAAGATTCATGTAGAGATATTTCTTGCACATAACTGTAAGGCATATGTAGATTATAACACCTCTTCATTAAAAGGATATACTTGATTTTCAGAAATATACCCGATAATAGATGGAAGAAAAATTCTAACTACTCGGTGTTGCCAAGTCTAACTAAGGTTAAGTTGAGAAGCAATACAATTTGCAGATGTTCTAGTGTTTCTTTAAACTATGGGAAATTTTAAGAATCTAAGAATTCAATGATTTCAGGAAATTAAATTTATCTTAAAATGTATTATCCACATTCTGGCTACTGAAGTGAATGCTTTCTGGAACATTCTCAGACCTTACAGCTTAACATGATTTCTAGCATACAATCAATGTTTACTAAATGAGATTTTGTGATGGCACAACTTTAAACAGAGCCTCAAAATCCTATGTACCCGAGGAAGATAGATTTTCCAGTCAGTCATTTAAAGCTTATTTAGTTTAAAATTTAGCATTTTTTATAAGGGTCCCCTAAATAACACTGCATGTCCGTGGTACTAGGATTTCTTTAAACATGAAAGTGTCACAAAGATCCTGGGATTCTTGTTACAGGTCCAACTTGTTAGGGTTCCATTGTGTTGATTCAGAAAAACAAAGGGGAGACCATGAGGGAAGAGAACTGGTTAGGTATAGAAGCATTAGCTATCCCTGAAGTTCACACAGACATGACATATTGGGGGTCTCACATAATAAAAAATGTTCATTAAGCAATCAGTAATTCTTCAAATCAGTTAATGTTGATGGTCCACATTAAGTGTCTTAATGAGGCACTTGAGAATTAATTGCTTAAGCAATATAATGACCTTAATCTCAATCACCTCTACTTGTAAAGGAAAAAATTTCCCAGGAACTCAGGATCTCCCTGTTTTCTGTCAAACGCTCATATTGGTATTGGGTCACTTCTACTGTCGATATGTCTGGGTTGAGATAATACAGAACCCCCTTAACTGAATGAGTTAGGAAGAGAGTTTCTCAGGTGTCTGCACTCTCCAGACCATGTAGCACAGTGTTATTAAAATGAAGAAAGGCAGCTCTATACATGGAAATGCTAATCTGTGGTAGAAGGACTTTTAACAGAATCTCACAATTGGGGCATTACTGTCACTGCTGTAGCATTATTGTCACCATGCTACCTTATATTAAACCTCAGGAAACAAAGTGCATATCCCATCACAGTCTCCCCGCAAACAGGTTTTACTTACAATTCATCATCCTGCTCTTTGCCATAACTTTCTTTTCCATACACTTCATCTTGTTTTCTACTCGCTAGAATAATTGACACCACCAAGGCTGGCAGACCTGTTATAAAAAGACCATGGCATTGAGAGAGTTTCTGAAGACTCTGGGACTGCCTCATAGGACTGAAACTGTTAAGTGAGAAAAAGAAAACCCTCTACAAGAGAGATGCAGTTTTCTTAGAATGGCCAAGTTGCCTGGTTCAAACCAACAGCAAAATTCTCTCCTCAGTGTGTGACATATGACACTAAGTGGCAATAGTTAAAAACCTACTCTTCAATGATAAGAAGCCTGGGCCTTCTTTGGGGGGTCTAGTGATGCTGGAGATTGAGACCCTGATTCTATGGGATGCAGCACTGACCAGTATGGTTGTTTAAACACTGGGCCACCTGCGTTCTGAAAGATAAGATTGAATGCAGCTGCTTTTATCCTTTTTATATATGAAACAAAGACTTGAGGAAAAGTAGGGGTAAACAGCAAGTGTATGATGTCTTTCCTCTTCAGAGAATCAGTAGTACTACTCCGTATCTACTTCACTGAATCAACTCATGCCTCCTCAATTCCCCAAGAGATCCTTTGGTCTTTCTCATGGCAGTATGTGGAAAACTAAGGAATGGCTTAGCCTTGAATATTGCTATCTGAAAAAGATACGTGATTGAGCCTTACAGTGCCTACTTTGATGCCAAAAATCCCAGAGAAAGAATGATTCTGAAACTGGCTCATATGGATGGCCTTTGGATATCTAACCAAGGATCCATGCTAAAAAGCTAAAGGCAGTGCTTTTTTCAATGTCTTGACTGTACACATGAAAATTACGCTCTTTTTCTGGCTCCCACAACAGGGATGAGTAGGGCTAGGCGTTTAGCTGACAACTATATTTGGAAGCATAATGGGCTGTCAGTTGCTTCTTTAGCCCTGGGTGGGCTGGCACTGGGCTCAGGAAATGAGTTTGTGGTGACCCAGGAGCCAAGGCTTTTCCTTTTACTCCTGAATTTAGTGAATACTGGTGAGGGTTTCAGAAACATGCAGTGTTGGGTAATGAGGATGTCCCTCTGTCCCTTCTTCAGGGTTTTTTTTTTTTTTTAATCTGATGCAGGTTCGTATTGGTTCTTATAGTACAATGCATGAGGACCCATGTCTGGGGGAGGCTTACCCCAGCCAATGATGCAGAATTTTAGAATATACCGGTGGATGTAAGTGTTAAACACTTTCACAAGTGCAATGTACATGTGGATGGCTTCTAGCCCCATCCAGGTGAAGGTGGCCAGGAGGAAGAAGTGCAGCAGGGCAGCCACAGCTGTACAGAGGCCAGCCACATCGAAGGAAGTGATCCAGCCATCCAGGAGGAAGATGAGATTCAGGAAGAGCAGGGCTGAACTCAGGTTCATCAGGATTTTGGAGGGATAATCCCTGCGTAGTTTCCTAAGGGTAGAGAAGAGGATTGTATGCAAGGAGCAACACTGAACACCAATGCTTAAAAACAGGAGGCAATTCCTGTTTCCTACCTTTCCCGGTATTGGTAAGTCCATACACAAGACATGGACCCACCATGTGGAGGAGTGAAGATTTTATGAGTATTTGCCAGGCTACAAAGACTGTGATTTTCCATTCAAAACTGTTTTCAAAATTCTCAACTTGTTTCTAAAGAGTTCATTTGTTTTTGAGACAGGGTCTTCTACTGCAGCCCAGGATGCCTTGCAATTCAGCACGTAGCTCAGGCTGTCCTTTACCTCATGGAAACTCCTCTGTTTGAGCCTTTTGAGTGCTGCTATTAAAGTCATGAGCTACCACACTCACAACTTTTTTTTAACTTAGGAATTTTTCCAGAGTGACAAGGAGTACATATTGAATCAACTAATTTATGTGTTTGTTCATGTGTGTATGTTTGTGTGTGTGTGTGTGTGTGTGTGTGTGTGCACCTTCATGGAAATGCCCGCAAAATCCAGAAAAGTGCATTAAAGACCCTGGAACTGTAGTTACAGATGGTCATGAGCAGTCTGAGGAATGTGGTAGAATCTGAACTCAGGTCTTTCTGCCATAGGAGCCAGCAATCTAAACTGCTGAGCCATCCCTCTAGTCTGACATTTTTATTTAAAATGTAATTTCCCTAGAATTGTTTGACGTTTCTTGGTTTTTAATGAGTCAGAGATCCCTTTCAAAAAATTTCCTGTTTCAAGAATGCTTTTATACAATTCATGAAGCAAATATCTTTACCTTTTACAATGTAGCAAGTATTTCATGTCATTTTAATTTACCTAAGTGTTAATAATCTTGAACAGACTTGGATCCATTTTTACAAATAGAGATGTAGTAGTTATAAACTAAAATTCTATACCTGGTAAGTTCTTGGTGTATGATCTTATGGGAAACATTCAAAGCGAGACACCAACACGATTCATCATAAACTGTAGAGTTTTAATGCTGAGGCATTTTTTCAGGCTTGAATTTGCAATTGTTAGCACCGAGCATGGCAGATGGAAATATACTTACTCAAAAGCAACATATGTCAGGAGAGTTGCTGCTGAGAAAATAGCCGATATTCCACACCCAATGTAGGTGATGAAAGTGAGGACCTTTGTGTTTCTTCCATCTATTTGTGAGGCACTTCTTGGGAGATCCTAACAAAACATGGGACACAGCTATAAGTCTGATTCCTCTTCCGTAACAGTGTTGCTTGATGTGATTAGAAACGTCACAGTTAACACTAGAATGGTTCAATCTCAAGGCCTAGAAACAGCAATGGCCACCAACATTAATTGATATAGGCACTTGCTGAACTCTTGTGGACCAGTCCAAGAAAGAAAAATGAAGCATTATTGTGGAAGTAAGTGCACCCTGTTTTAAATCAGTACGTCTTTGTCTAAGCTCTTCGTAACCTAATGAAAGTCAAAGAGTGAAACCACTGGAGGCCCCAACAGAAATGGTGGAGGGTATAGTTGTCTATGTTAACAATCACACCTGCTTCTGCAAGGATAGGGGCATGATTAAAAATGAAAGCCACTATGCAAACATGGACAACTCCTAGGGCCCTAGATTGTGTGCTAGCTGAGAGATGCCCAGCCAGGAACAGCCAGAGATTGCTATAGGTAGTCTTGAGGTTTCTATGGCCATCTCAAAGCCTAACATGTAGGGGGTTGGGTTGATATGTGAAGCTATTTCTAAGAGTGAAGCATCTTCAGTCTTTATAGTTCTAGAAGGATTTAATTTGGAGCATCAGGAGTTGGGTAGAAGGGGAAGATAACAACGCGGACAAACATGAAGCAGTAAGTCCATATGTTGTAGTGAACTTGAAAACTCTGACCTCGCAGGCAAACCTTCCTTCACCTCCTAACTGGATTAGGTCAGAATAAAACCTTAGGCAAGACCACTAACCTGTACTGGCACAGGATGAAATTCACTTCAGACGTGCAGGTGTTTGAAAATGAAGGAAGAGATTTGCTGAATATACAATTTAAATATTTCAATCTTATGGCTAAAGTAAGGTTTTCTTTCTATATGTTTACTTCTTTTAATTTTTATAAAATGTCATGAAAACTGCTACTTTCCCACATTCCTACAAAATCAGTCTCTCTCTCTCTCTCTCTCTCTCTCTCTCTCTCTCTCTCTCTCTCTGTGTGTGTGTGTGTGTGTGTGTGTGTGTATGTGTGTGCATCTGAAAATATGCAAAATGAACAAACAGGAGTTACTTCTAGATACAACTAAGGCAGTAAGCATGTACAGTAGCTTGAGACATTGGTAAATACAGTGGCAGAAACCAGAAGAGTTGGGGGCTCTGAGCCAGGAAAAGCCTCCCCATTCCTCAGAAGCCCAGGAGTCCCTCAACATACAAGAAAGACATGTGCCCATGGCATACAGGACAGAGCTTGAGTCAGTGCCACTAGACGCCGAAGAGGTCCTATCTGGCACACTCACTGCAGAATCAGCTAGAGTAGAGAAATTAGGGGCTCTGAAGGATCACTAAGGGTGATGAACTCTTCAAAGTACTGTTTCCACCTAGGTAAGACAAATGGATGGTGACTAAATAAAGAATTTAAGAAAAAAATGTAGTAATTTTATACACTGATAGCAAGTCTCACTCAATTCTTATATCCTGTGGTGCCTTCTGAGAGTGATCACATGACAATTTTATCCTTCTAAGTCAGTCAACGTGAAGATAGAATAATGCAAAATAATAGGAAAGTCACTTTTATTATGGAGAAATGTAGGAAAGGACATTAAACATTTTTCACATTTATAGATTAAAAGATATAATTGTAAGTTTACGTGTCATGGGAAGATTTAGACTATCTTCTACAAGTGAACAAAGAGTTTTTAAATCTAGAAGAAAAAGCTATGACTCAAGTGTTGGTGGTTTGGAAGAGCCAAAGAGATGCAGACACATTGCCAGAAAGGATGAAAGTGTTTCTTCCAACAGTTTATAATCTTACAAAAGAGGCCAAAAAGGATACTGGAGGCATTCACTAAAATGCAAATTGCCACACAGTTAAACTTAAACTTTTACTCAGACAGCAACAGAAAACACAATGTGCATTTATAAATCCATAACAAAAAATTAATCAACACAGAGTGAAACTGGCCATCAGAGTAACATGCAGGTAAAATCTGGCTGCATATAAATCACTTTTGAGAAGTCAATGTTCTTATAGCATTTATTTATCTATTAGAAACAAAACTCACAATCATTTTCAAATTGTACATGCACGCTGTTGAAATATTTAAGAGAATTAAGCTAATTTATCTGAATGACTAATTATTATGCAAGACAAGCATTTTCTGAAGAACACCTCTAGTCACTTTTAAAGAAAAGAGAAGATGAGAGGATATATGAATTTCTGAACACACTATAGTTCAGTTGTTGTTTTTTTTTTTTATCCCCTGAAGAAACAACATATTTTGAGAACAATAAAAAGTTACATTCTGTGATTCATCACGTTTGCCAATGACTTGTTCTTCATGCCCAGAGCATTTGTATCCTAAGTTGTCAGGAAATTCACAACTTGTGGGTTGTAAATTTGTATGACAATGGTCATTTGCATAGGCCAAGTAGTTCATCAGCCAAGTACTGCAGCCCATGGTTGCTCACTGTTTCCTCCCAGACCCCACAGGAAGAAAACCGTAAGACTTAAGGGAGGAGATAAATACAACCTCCTGTCTGGGATTCCAACTGGAAAACCTGTATCACTTCAATTCCCATTTCCCCAATCTTCTATGAAAGAGCGGGTGTGGTAGATGCCTTCATAGAAACTTCGTCAAAACAATGGCTGTGGTACAGTCTAGATGTTCTGCATAATGGATAGGTTCTTTCACAACACAAGCATAGCAGATGAAGGGTACTGACCCATGGGTGAGTTCCAACACACCCTTGGCAGTAAGATGAGTCTTGAAAATTGAATGGGATAAAACAAATTTGCTCTAAATTTTTGTTCAAACTGTTGAGTATACTGGCCTGTAGATTTTTTTTAAAGGACAAGAGCAAGGAAGACTAGAAAAAGTTATATAAAATCCCAAAGTGAGAGAGACTTCAAGTGATCATTTTTTTTTTTTTTTTTGCAGGACTGAAGTTACTGACTCAAACTACTAGCTGTCTGAAAAGATGATCGTTTTCAGGGGAGAAATCAGTAGGCACAAGACACAACATCACCTGGCAAGCAAGTGTATTAAATAGCACATAAGGAAGAATACTTTTGATCTGACTATTAAAAAAATTTTTTTATGGTAGCAACACCCAATACTTTCTTTTTCCATCGTTCTTTCCTTTTGTCTCTCTCTCACCAACACTTTCTCCCTTAACTAAAGGGGGTCATGAGAATTCTTTTAGGTTCTAGAATTACTTCTCAGCACTGCTAATGCGACAAGGAAAATAAGATAGAGATCTTTTGTATGATGGTGTCATTTGTGTAAATCCATGACTTCTGTCAATCAGATGCTTCTTTAAGACTCAAGATCTAGGGTACACACGGCTATGATTGGGAAACAGTTCGAAAAATATATAACCTTTAGAAAGTAGATTTACACAGAAGAAGTGTGCCTTCTAGAATTATAGTGTGTCAAAATGAGCCAAGAAAGTCCCCTCACCATCAGGACTCCGAAGTGAGTGAAGTGGTTACACAGGCAGATGGTCTCGCCAGCATTCGAATCCGAGCTCGCAACACATCCTGAGGTGTTCCAGCCTCCAAAACTTGCTGGGGGGAAGAAACAACAGCTCAGTGTCCTCTGAAAGGGGTGAGCCCTTCTTCTGCCTCAACGAGCTGATCGTTAATACAGGCATCATTCTTGAAGCCACCATGGTGTAGAATGATTTAGATTCCTGGAATCCTTGAATTTCATCTTAGGATTATTCAGGCAGGAGTTTCAAATTCTGTTCCATGGAAATACCCTGGGGTTTCTGAGGATGCTCATGCTGAATTTTTACTAAAATTTGAATTCAACATCTATAAAAACTAAGATTCCTTTTCAAATGTTATATGCTAATGAGCTCTCCGAAGACCAAAAGCCCTTTCCTCCCTGGGATCAGACTTTTTGGGAAGATATCTGAGATCGGCTTTCTTAAAATATTCTGTGATATACACAGTGTCGTCATTATGAAGGCAAGGGCAAGTGGCTAGAACATACCTTACCTTACTTTACGGCATAATATTTGTCCATTTATTTAAATACAAAGTTCGGCATGAGATAATATGTTTAAGCAAGTATACAGTCAATCAGGATCTCAAAAAGGGTGCCAACTACAGCACAACAATTAAACTATCTGTCTGTAATAAGAAGTGATAGAGGTTTAGGAGACCACGAGGCTGCATTTCTCATAGGCAAAGCAGCCGGTATGGCATCCCAGTGCACTTAGTAACAATGTGGCATTAGGGATCCAGAGCGAAGAGGACCCTTTGGGGTGAACACATGAAGTTTCCTTCTGCACACCCCTTATTCATTTCCACACTCTCTTCCTGGTGATTTGTAGATTCCTTACATGGTCCTTCTTGTTTAGATTGCTCAATATAATTTTGGAGGTCATTTTCCCTTAAGTAAGCTGTGTTCTTTATAATACTTCCTATGCTTATCTATTCTCAGTAGGCTCTTTCACCCACCTCTTAATTTTTATGCCTTATGAATCATCTCACCGGATATGTAATGGAATGAGCTTGAGCCTATGTTCAACTGAAAGTGACTGTACTACAAACAGATGCCACAACGTACATATCCCTGAAATGAAAGTGGTCGATTCTTTCAAACTTTGAATCAAATACATTTTTTTTGTAGTGACAAAAGTTATTTTAAAAACACGAACTGATTTCCCAAGTTATCTAAAATATTGTTTGAAGCTTAGCTGCCTTAATAAGTTAGAGTTTGGGGTTAAAATGGGCATGGGGGCACTGGGAATGCTTGACAACACTTGAAATTCTATTAATCTATATTAAGTCCAGACTGTATTTTACAACTTACTATTTTTGTTCAGATCCCAGAAGGCGCAGATGGGACGATACACTTCCTGTGTCAACATAAGAATAAACATGCACAACCGTATTTTAAACTGTTGAAAAGCCACAACTGAAATGCAATGAAAGAACTAGAATATCACGGGCTTCACAAAGTTACCGACCAACCAGATGTGCCAGCACCACCCCAGCCTGAATGGACCTTCTCTCCTGGAGACGTCACATGAAACTCTACTAGGACCCTAGGAAGACTTACACTCACTTTTCTGCAGGGAACTCACTCTCTGTTCCACTCAAAACACTGAATCTCCTATCAATCTTTCTGCCTAGGAAAGATTTTTATAACTTAACGTTCATAACGTCTTCAAAACCTTCCTGTGTGCCTGAAATCAGGGCTTCCAGAGACAGTTGTATGCCCAAAGCCAGATTACGTAATTTACAAAAAATAGTCATAAAATAGAAGCAACCCAAATGAGCATCGATAGATGAATAAAGAAAATCTGTTACATTCCCATCATGGAATATCAACCAGTCTTTAGGTCAGGCATGCTAGGCATTTGCTACAACACAGATGGATTCTTGGGGCTTTACGCTAAAAAATGTAAGTCATTTCTGAAGGACAATTACTGTCCGGTTTTCTGTCAGAATAAAATTAGTACTGCAGGAGAGTGGTGTGAAAAGAGGTTGCCAGAGATTTCTGGAAGGTAAGAACAGGAAATTGATATTAATTGGGACAGAGTTTCAATTGGGAAAGATTAAAATAACTAGTAGAGATGGATGGTATATCTGTTGACAAAAATACAATTGAACTACATTTCAATTTCAAAAATGGTAAGTTCTACTAATTGTGTTCACCAGGAGTCATAAACCAAAGTTCTCCTTTACAGTCAAAGATGAGCAAGGAGGTCTCTGAAGGTTCATCATGATTGTGGTGAATCTTTAATGTTTCAACTCCAGTCCTCAGCCCTTATCAGCCTGCTCACTTCTTGCCTGACTATTAAGCACTTCCTGCCTGACTATTAAGAGACCATCACCTGGAAGCTCTACAGAAGTGGGAAAGCTTGTTTGTGAGCTGCAGGGGACAGTATGAACTCCCGACTCCTTGCAGCACATAACTGGATGGTAGAGAGGGCCCTAAGGTAAGAGCGCTAACACTTGGCATATCTTAAGCCACTGCACATCTCCCAAAGAGCAAGTCTGTGCATTGTTGCCCTGTGAGCTTTCCCAGCTCGTTATCTCTGACTTTAAAATCACAAAGAGACAATCACAATTCCCGATCAAAACTTGTGCCTGCATCCCTGTATTTGAAGATGATCAAGCCCCGTCTTAAGAGCAGTATCCCTGTTGGTCACTTCCATTCTCTTCTGATTCTTGGGTACCAGGTAAGGCCAACCCACTGGTTGCTGCTGTCAATCATGATATTGACTGAATACTGAGTACTGTCCCTAGCCTGATCAGTACATCTCCCTTCTAGAGGATAGATGTTGCCCCCTCATAAAGTGTGTTGGTTGCTCTTCATTTTGTACAGTTCTCTGAGACAGTGTGCACTCTCCAACTACTACTATCTGTGGCATCTTCTTACCTGAGTTCTGGTGTGTTTGATTTTGATTTGAACTGGATCTTTCAGATTCTGGATAGTAATGTTTCCAATGCTGCACGCCATCACATAACTCACTAGGATTTTTCTTTGAGATCCAACATCCTTTTGAAAGACATGAACAAATCGCGTGCATTAGTCATAAGTACACACTTTTGCGCTCCAAAATAAGCAACCTGTCAGCAACTTTTACACTTAAGATCTTCAACTCTAGAACATCCTGTTTATAACTTCCATTCGCTGGCTTTCCTGAAGGGTCTATGCTATTTCCCTTATTATAATAAATACATTGCAGGGACAGCATGAACTAGTGTTATAAGGGAATGTTCACACACCATTCTCCATCACTGGGATTGATGTCGGCCAATTGACAACTGAAACAATACGAACTCGTAAATCGCACAAACTCATAAAAAGCTGTGAAACAATTAGATCATTTCCTGACTCTAGAAAACAGGTAAAGTTATTTACAATATAAAAATTAAGAAGCAATTCATCATTCACACCTATGCCAACAGCCTGACATGTTTACCAGCTTATACCTGGTATTACCAATGTAATTCTATTGGCTTGAAGTCCCACCCAGAACTCCTGCCTTCTGTTCTTGTGGACTTGACAACAGATGCAGATTTTGCACAGAAATCAGGTGGCTAGAGGGGTCCCCAAATCTGTGCTTGCCAATGACATGGAGCACTAGCCTGCCTTTCTAACAAGTTCTCTAGACTTCTCTTGCTGCCGGGTTTCTTGTTAAACTATGAGTTGCTCTATATCACAACTTATACATCAGTTGTGCTAAAATTATTATAAAAATCTTTTACATTTCAAATATAATTCTAAAATATAGTTTTTGACTAATTTGTATGTTAGTTACTAGCAACACATTTGACTTGCATTGGAGATAACCATTGCTTATTGAAAATGCTCCTATCTTTTCTAAAATATGGGGAGAATACAACAGAGTCTTTACCTTTAATTTTATTTTTTTACTTTTCTGTAAATTTACTTTTAAAAATCAAAAAATTGTACTAACATAAACACTCAAAATACATACAAATATGAATGGAATCACAAAATAATAGGGAAGACCAAACACCAATTATACATTTTATGCCACTGAGTAAAAACTTCCAGTGCCATGAACTGAGTCATTAGCCAAAGTGGCCCCATGGAAACTCCAAACATCACAGGCTATCGTCAAGCCTATTGGTTGCTCTCCAGAAACTCTGGGCAAGGCCCTATTGCTGAAGACAACACCTATCTCATCAAGCATGGAGAAGTCAAACTGGTCCCTAACTCAAAGCTTGTACAAAAGTCTAAATTCCATTTGTATTATACGTGGATATTTTACAAAGGCTGATCCTAAAACATTTGTAGATTATGTTTTTTAAGTTTTGAAATTACAGTTCACCATAATCATCCCCTGTTCATCTATCTATCTATCTATCTATCTATCTATCTATCTATCTATCTACCTATCTTTCTATATCTCTATGTCTTTTTATCTCTCTCCCTCTCCTCTTTTCGCCTGTCTCCCAAGTGCTGGGATTACAGTAGTGTGGCAACAGCTCCAGTAATTTTCTTCCATAACTGAGTGATTTATAGGGTGACCATATATGAAAAACTCCAATGGGTCTGAGACTCAAAATGTTCTCCTGCATAGGGCACACAGCTAGACAAACACTGCTGTCTTGAATTTAACTGGTAACTCTTCTTCTGAGGAAAGGGTCCAGCAAAATGCTCTCAAGGGGGCTGTCCTCTTCAAGGCCACCAAGGGTGACTCGCGCTTTCTGGCAGTAGATCATGTAGCATCTGAGCTGATGCCAATAAAAATGATAATATGTGCTCAGCACAATGCCACTCTACTCTGCGGATATGAGAATGCCAAAGGTCATTTGAAATACTAATGGGAAAAATGATTAAAGCCAAGAATGCCGCTCATTATGTAAAAGGTGCTTCCTGCTGAGTTAAAAAAAAATCCTTTCCTTTGGTGCACGAATGCTTTAACTCTAGAGACCTGGGCGGGGGAGGGGAGCTGGAGAACAAAAGGATTAACAAATAATAAATAGTGGTGTCATAACTAACTCAATTCCACATTATATAACACAAATCTTAGCCTGACAATTTGTTTTTAAAACCCAAGTAAGTAAACACTGTTAAAAGGGACATTAATTGAAATAAAATATTTGAACATTTACATTTTTTTTAATCTTTGAAAACATAGCAGATTCATTTTTCTGTACCTGCTGGTGTAATTCAAAAGAATCTGAACATTTTAACCTTTGAGCACAGATAACTTCATTAGAAACTGGAAAAAAAATTAATAGGTTCTCACCTGGAAAAGTCCAGTTTTGTTGAAGAAAGTAAACTGTGCTCTTCTGACTAATATGGAATCTTCTTGACTTAAATTCTCCAGCAAGTTCAGAGGTAAAATCACAGATGCCAATGAATCTGTTTGTCCGTTCTCAAAGTCCATCTGCCACACACAAAGGCACCGGTGGAAAAGTCATCATGAAGGCAATGGTCAGACTGTGTTAGATGAGACGTCTGAAAGGGCCACCTCAGCCAGAACCAGGGCTGCCCTTGACCTCTGCCAACATCTGGAATTCCTGGATAATCCCTTGCCACTAGGCAGAGATCACATTGGGGGTTTACACAAGAATACCTTGATCATAAAGCACATTGGCAATTCTAGAGACAAATGAATATCTTCATCTATGAGGGTGGGATATGAAGGCGTCCAATTTTGATCTTTTCTCTGTTCATCTCACACACCATAAAGCAATGATTATGGGCATAGACTAACTTTTTTAACAGCAATGGTTAGTTACCTCTGCAAAGGGGTGATAGTTGTTTTGTTTTTTGTTTTTTTAGTTGTTTTGGTTTTGCTTTGACATTGTAGCCTTCATTTGAAATGAGACAAGCAGAGTGACACACTTTGAATGGAGGAATATACAGCATCTCTCAGCCTTGATTGACCACCCTGCTCATTGCTTTATGGGCTACAGACTGAAAAAGAGCCAGTACCATGAATACTGTAATATACTACTTTTCTTGAAACTATAACTCGGGCCATAAATTCTTCCTGGACTTAGTATGAGCGAGGGACTAATGGAGCTTGCACTATTTAAATATAAAAATATCCTTAATGCCCCCACCCAGGTCAGGGATGGTGCTGCATTTATTGCGTTTGCTCTGCTTGCTAACAATGCCTGAAACAGTAGAAACTTGCAAATTACCGGATGAACTGTGACTTTAACATATCCCAGACGGTTAGTAGAGTCCCAGATGACTTGTTCAGCCTTGTCTGTCACCTGCCACTGCCAAGTCTCTGTATTTGTGGATCTGCACCACATGATCCATAGATCAGCAGTGTCAGTAACAACTGAGCCCTTGATTAAGCTGGACATGTCAGGACCCTACACAGAACATCATCTTAGAGGCTCTGAAGGCAAGGCCCAGAATTGCTCTTAGCACATCTTGTCTGCGGCACTAAAGTTCATTTTTACAAGCAGTGGCAAGGAGACAGCTTCTCCCTCATCTCTTCTAACCCAAAGTTCTTTAGTAAGACTTATCTTCCAATATGGTGATCTCTACCCACGTGCTAACATTTCGCTCTACCTCTTCTTTTTTAGAAGGCACCATCCATCATATGGACCTCTGTACTTCTGCTTTTTCTGTGCCTGCTGATGTCATATTAGACAGTGTTCAAATCTGTCTACCATTACTGGGATTAAGACTTCCTTGAGGAATCTAATATTAAAGAACCAGTAAGACTGTTCTCTGTGTCTTTAATTAGGCAAAATGAAAACAAACATGGGTTTGTTACCTGGAAATAGGATTCATTATTGCTTGGAAGACCAATGCTAAAATTTGAAGGTGCATCCGTCCCTGGCATCAGGGATGATACTCCAAGAGCCAAATTCTGTGTTGCAATATTCACGTGTGGTGTGCTATTCAGGTCTATTTTGAAGGCTAGCTCATCAATTGTTTTTAAAGCTCTAAAGAAATGAAAATGGCATCATTGTTAAATTACACTGTGCTTTAGGTACTTGCCCGATGACAAAATACTAATGCAAATTATCTTTAAGTCCTCTGATCTTAGCATATAGGATATAACACCACCCTCAAACCCCAGGACTCTCAGCTGGAACATAGAATCAAAGTAACTGATGCATCCTCAGAAACACATCTTAAGCAAAATCAGTAACTAAGTCATCAGAAGTTTTGTTTGCCACTGACATTGTTTGAGAAGCCAGAAGACACTGTAAAAGTTGCTGTGTGGTATTTGGTTTGTGTTCTAACAAATAAAGTTTGCTTGGAGTCAAAGGGCGGACCTAGCAACTAGTTAACCAGAGAGGTCGGGAGGTCTGTACAGAGAGGAGACAGGATATGATAAGGTGGGGCAGAGACAAGATCTCAGCCCTTCTGGACTGAGAAGCTGCAGAGGTAGGAAGCAATTGGTGGCTGCTTCCTTGCTTCTCTGATACTTCAGGTTTGTACCCTGATCCCTGACTCCTGGTTTTAATTGCTAAGATTAATTATATTTACGCTTCAAAAGTTATTTGCAGTTAATGTGCTAGAGATAAAATAATCTAGAGAATGTGTTTAACAAACATATTTTATCAAAGAAATATTATTTAAAGAAAGGAATGAGGGAAGTGGAAAAAAATATATAGCTCAATAAATACAATAAAAAATGAAAAAGTATGATTTAATTTTTAAAAATCAAAAAAGGAAATAGAAGAAATTAAAGACCCTACTATCAAGTGGAAAATAAAATATAAAGTAATGTTCTCCTACCTACCCTAGGCATTTTTGTTTTGTTTTGTTTTATTTTTCAAGACAGAATTTCTCTGTACACAGTGCCCTGGCTATCCTGGTACTTGCTTTGTAGACCTCAGAGTTCTTTGTTGTCTCAGAGTTCTGCCTGCCTCTGCCTCTGAGTGCTGGGATTAAAAGCATGTGCATTCACACCCAGCTGGACATGTTTATTTGAGAAGCTCACATAGCTGTGACAATGTGCAGAACATTGTGTCAATTCGCAAGTGGCCGAGTTATTTTATATGCGGCCGGATGAAAACCCTAATAGCTTTGTAAACTATGCTTCTGAAATAATTAGGGAACTTTAAAGTTTACTTTGTAAATGACCTTGGGAAATACCCATGCACCTTCTCGAGTTGTGAATCATGGAGTCTGGGCACAAAGCGTTCAGAGAGGGAGCAATGATCTCACGACACATGAATAAAGCTTAACTCTTAGTTATACTTACTCAGAAGACGACTCAAGCAAATCACTATCCGAACTGCTTAGGATATTAGAAAATATATTCATTAGGGTGGAGCCGAGCGTTATATCAATATTTTCTTCTTCGCTCACTATCCTTTTGACCTCCTCTACAATGTTGCTAATATTGGCTGAGGATAGGTTCTGCCCATCACCAGTTAAATCTAAAATAGCCTTGGCCTTTTGATTTGGTTGTCCTAAAAGGAGGGAAAGAAATAACACAAAGTTTGTCTGGGTGTTTTAGACATTTCTGGGAAGAGGCAGTGTGAATTCTCTATATAAACAAGAAGTGGGATTCCCATGCGTACCCCACCCCCATATTTATAAGGCAACGTTTCTTTATACATTGTGACAGATTTCTTAAATAGGATACAGATTTCTTGAATATGATTCAGAGGGTTTAGTGTTCCTTGATGAAGAGCATTGATATAATAATGCTGAAATATGAAAAGCATTGATATAATAATGCGAACTATGAAAAACATTGAAAGAAGTAGCAACTTGCGCACTACTTTTAATCCTCTGCATAATTTTCTTATCATTTTTGTTTCCCTAGTTTATGACTATGACTGAAATTTAGAATGCAGAAAAGTATACTTTCTGCCTAAAATATGTGAAAGATTCATTTGCCTGAGTTTTAAAATTATAGTAATATCACATAGCAGAACATCATGCCTGCAGAGAATGTAAACGTCAATGATGATGATGGTCATGAGGTCATTTCACTTTGTTTTGGGAAACGGAAGACAAATGGCACTCACTTGAGCAATTGGAGGCGTCAACAGGGCTCCAGAAGGTTGATGTGGCATTAGAAAGGCTGTGATAATTCCCAGACAACAAAATAACATTTAAGTACATGGCACCAATGAAATTACAATCAACAAAAGCAATTCATAAGTTTCGGGATTTGCCTCGCTATCCAGCTAGATTCCCTTTTAAAAGAATACTAAAAAGGAGGATAAAAATCCTCATTGAAAAATCAGTCAGGACTTGCACTCTTGAAGGGAAGCCCTGCCTACATCCTGCGTCCTGACCTCGCGTACACTGTCAAGTGCTGCTTTAAGTACTTTACTGGAAAACTCACATTCCAATTTCACATAACTCTGGAAAGCAGATTTCAATCCACGTTTTTGAAAAGGGAAATGCATTTTAGAGAAGCCAAGGAATTTTCCCAAGAACTTGAGCCAGGAAGAGGTAGGGCCACATTTCAAACTTGAGTCCATAAATCTCCCAGCACTTGTCTTGCCTCCCCACCAAGTGTCAACGACAGCCCTTGATGCGGAGGATGCACACTTAGGCACTTTCTGTTCCTGAATTCCTTCCAAAAGAACTAGCTGGGCCCAAGGCAGAGGGTGGAGAACTAGACATGCAGGGAGCCTTGGCGGACCCTCCAACTGTCTAGCGAAGGCTTATTAGATGTGTAGGGAAATCCTGTGTCTTGACAGTCTATGTCAGCAGGCTGCCCAACCTGGTTCTGGCCTTATTCTCCCTTTGCCAATTCTCTTCCCCACATGAGTAAGAAGTTCTGGGGGTCAGGTGCCTGTTCTGAGACCACAGTGGCCACAGTTTCCTCTGCTCTGGGGCCACAGTTTGGTTTCCAACTTCCTCATTCTTGGAGAGAGCTCAATTAGCTCACAGCTCAGTTGAAAACAGCCATGTGGGTTGTTCTTTCCTCATCTCTATCCACCTATGAGTGTGTGACTGCTTCCCAACTTCTTAAATCAGCTCGTGAATGAGTTCTGCTTTGACAGACAGAGAAAGCTTGGACATGTAGCTTGCAAGTCAATGAAAAAGATTACCATGTCCGTGTTATGTAAGAGCCCGGCTTGTTCGGGCATGGTTGTTGAAAGGAAGAGCGTAAAGAGATGGCTGGCCAGCTAAAGCCCTCTGGATCCTCCTCGGCACTACACGTACCTAGGAGAAAGTAAGAGTCAGAAATAGACAAGTCCTTAATTTTCTGAAGTTAAAGGTATAGGATGAAAACCAATGACAGCCCTGGGAATTCAGTAACTATTACATATACTACTCAAATACCAGTGTTTTATATTTAGAATTTTTAAAAATTATGAAAAGTAAACATGTTTCAGATAAAAATTATTACATCTTACAAACCCGTCTTATAATAAAAGGATGAAATGTAATAATGAAATATATATGATCTTTCACGTAAACCATTAAGGTATGAGTTTTATTCGGAGAGCAAACATCATGGGAACTGAGAAAAGACCTGAAATTTTCAAAATATGTTTAAAACAGGGGAGGGGGCCCATAAATGAATAGCTTCATTGCTGAGTTGTAAGCACATTTTATGGAGTATTTTCTAGCTGTTTTTTTTTTCCCCAACACAAAGTTTCTCTGTAGCTTTGGAGCCTGTCCTAGAACTAGCTCTTGTAGACCAGACTGGCTTCAAACTCACAGAGATCTACCTGCTTCTGCCTTCTGAGTTTTGGGATTAAAGACATGTGCCATCACCGCCCAGCCTAGCTGTTCTCATAGTGTACAGTCTCTAAAGCTTACTAGAAAAGGGAAGCAAGGAAGTTCCCCCAGCCAGCCTTAGCTGTCTTGCCTTCTGCTCTTGCCCTCAAACCGCTCCACTTTTCGAGTGAAAACAGTCCAGCTAATTGATTGCAATGGCAAAAACGATTCAAACTTTATCATTTGAAAACATCAAAGCCACAGCAACACCTACACTAAAACTTTCTGAGTGTGAAAGAGCAGCGAAAGCACTGAAAGATGTGGTCCTTGTCAGGACCTGTAGGTCCCGAGTGAAAATTCAAATGACTTTTCCAGTCTACCCTTTGAATCTGGGAGATTCTAAGCTTTTGTTTTCAAGTGCCACAACCCTTTCTTCACAGTCGCTTCTAGAGACACAACATACAAATCAGCAAATAACTGGTATAAATTAAATATCCATGTATGCACAGATCGCTGTCCTAAGATTGTCCAGCCTGTCGGCAGATTGGATTGGTCCCTCAGGGTTGTATGGTGAGAGAGATCTTGACTGCCATTTGTCACTGCTTCTTTGTAGAGATTGCCTGTGTATAAAAGGAGAGCTCTTGCTCCCCTTTGTAGAAGCCCTGCTTGTGAGAAAGTGAATACTTTTGCAAAGCCCCAGATATTATTTAGTAGGAATCAGCACTACTGTGGCTTCTCAATGCTTATCCACCGCTCTGAGGGTCTCTCTAGCTCTGCATGTTGACACAGTAGACAGAGTTGAGCAGGCACTCACAGATGTGGGGGTTCATCACACTTGGATGTGGTCTTGTTTCTTTGCATGCTCTGGGGGGGGGGTGGTGAAGAGCACCTACATTCCCACTTCAGCTTCCTTAATGTATCGGAGGGAAAGCAGGAAAATCTTTTGACCCAATGCCTACCGAAGTCTCTAGTCAGACTCTAACTTTATACAAAAAGCACCAGAGCAAATACTTTTATTTGTATGTAGTTTTAGACATTTGCTTATAAAAGATACCTGTAGTGGCATTTCAGTTGTATTTTAATAAAGCTTGCCTGAAGATCTGAGAGCAAAACAGGCCCCTGGTCATGAGGTCAAGGTAAGAGTCAGTGACCCAATGCTTTGATTTTCAGATCTTCAGGTTAAACCCCAGTTTCTCTCTCTGAGTTTTTATTAACCGTGCTTCAAATACCTCCATTAAGATTCAGAGACCCACATTGAAGCACTGGACTGAGCTCCCAAGGTCCAAATGAGGAGCAGAAGGAAGCAGAACATGAGCAAGGAAGTCAGGACTGCGAGGGGTGCACCCACCCACTGAGAGGGTAGGGCTGATCTAACGGGAGCTCACCAAGGCCAGCTGGACTGGGACTGAAAAAGCATGGGATAAAACCGGTCTTTCTGGACATGGCGGACAATGAGGGCTGATGAGAAGCCAAGGACAATGGCACTGGGTTTTGATCCTACTGCATGTACTGGCTTTGTGGGAGCCTAGCCTGTTTGGATGCTCACCTTCCTAGACCTGGATTGAGGGGGGAGGACCTTGGATTTCCCATGGGCAGGGAACCCTGACTGCTCTTTGGACTGGAGAGGGAGGTGGAGAGGAGTGGGGGGAGGGGGAGGGAAAAGGGAGGCGGAAATTAAAAAAAAAAGATTCATGCATTCATTCAACAAGTATTCGAGTGCTGGGGGCTAAGCATTAAAAAAAATAAGATGCCATCTCATGCTAAAGATCAAAATACTTAAAGAAGACTCACATAGGAATGCAAATAAGTTCAATGAAAGACGATAGTCTTCCAAGGTATGTGAATCACAAGGTCTCTGAGCAACGCGAAGTAGAGGCTCAACAATGGTGATGTGTATTGTGCATGATGATGTCAGAAAAGACCTTAAAGAAGAGGTGGCTGTGTGGCTATCATCAAAGGTGAAGGTGAGTGGGCAGGTATAGTAGAGGGTGTGCACACCACCTAGCTATGAAAGAGCATGGGAGCTTGGGAAAGTGCAACTTGTGCCATACGACTCCTGAAAGCTTAGGACATGGAAGGTGTGTTGCTGAGAACTAATTCTAACTTCAAGATCCCTGGTTTAATGCTGTGAAGGTAATGACATCATTAATGGGCAAAGAATACAATAAAAAGAGAGGCTTTATAATAAAGAACTTCTCTCATAATTTATTTCATGAGAGTTCTTGTAAATGCATATATGCATTTTTTAATCTTGTAAGTGGAAGCCAATGATGGTCAAGGTTATTCCAGTACTTTGCTCCTTTGGGGATGAGAAAGGATAAATACAAACTGCCTGCCTCCTTCACTCCCTTAGATTTAGAGATGTTGAGCTGACTTTTACGCAATGTTACATATTTTTTTTAACAATCTCTGATATAACTAATTCCATCACTAAAATTCCATCACAGACAAGTAACAAACAAGACTGTTTGGGCTGTTGCATGCTTAACTCTGAATGTGTAAATCACACATACTGAACTCACGTACCCAGCTTATTCACATTGACTTCATGGAGCCTCAGGCCTTCATCTAGTGATGCATTGTTGGATTTAATCTTCTCTTCTATCTTTGCTTCATCCAGGTTGGGATTATTGGTAGCATTGTAGACTAGAAGAGCCCACAGCACCACCCTAGAAAAGACGTCAGAGAGAACTATTGTTCCTAGGGTTGCTTTTTGACTGTTTGTTTTTGCCTAGGAGAAACAGAACCTGGATGCCAGGAGCGATTAAGGCCAAAAAGACAAACTAAGAAATCTTGGCCTTTCTTTCTCTGTTGTACAGATTATAATGTTCAGTCTGTCTCATCTGGAATAGATTATCTACAACATAATTCTTTAGAATTTTTTCATAACACCCCACTTTTTCAAAAATATTTAAGTAGTATCTACAGTTCATATGCCATATAATAATACTTTTAACATCCACCAACAGGGGAACATAATATAGTTAATTCTATTTTATTTACTTATAGGCAAAACTTAAAATGTCAAAGAAAATGGTTGAATTGCATATTGGACTCTTGAAACTGGTATGTGTCATTGTTTACAAATGTGGTGCATGTCTCGCAGATGGAGTTTTTCCAAGTACTTAATATGGTGAAAATATGTAAAATAAATACTTAGAGTATACCCAGTTTGGATAGTAAAATGGTTTTAGAAAGTGTAACCCTGAAAATTTCTTTATGGGAAGCATAGATGTATATTTTAAGACCACTGTCAAAACATACAGCTAAGCCATGCTTGCAGCTCTTGTCAATAGTAAAATCTAAAGGCAATTCTGTACTGAGGCAGAGGTACATTCTGTCATTTTGTCAGGTAAAGGAGATTTTTTTCTTTGCTTCTTTATGTGAGCATGCTGCATGTGTATTTCCTCTTTATTTTGAGGAGAAGTGAAGAGTACAGCAGACATCACGCTATTATCCAGATGGGTTGATCGTCACGTGCAAAAGAGCAGGCATGTGCCCTCAAAGTCTAGAGGACAGCACACTCTATTGATAAAATTTAGTCAGTAAGAATAGAAGTAAATACAGACACAGCACATTTCTGGTAATAAAAAACAAAGAATAGGTTAAATATTTTTTACTTAAGGTTAGGTGACGTAGCTGGATTTTGCCTATTTAGCCGGTCAGTCAACTCAAGGACAAAGTACTCTTCTCCTCTCTGACTCTGGGAACATTTTACCTCTAAAGTGATCCGCTGCTTAACACTCATACATCAGCCACATTTTCAGATGAGGCAAGTATAGATGCCAACATGCGGTGCACGGTGAACCCTTGGGACCATTTTCTAAACGGCATACGATGAGATGTCCTCTGATTCAGTGACCATTGGGAGAAAAGCAGCGCCACCATGGTTCCTGAGCATCCCTAGCCGTGCCCAGGACAGCGTCAGCATAATGTATTGGGGGTATGTTTAATACACAGACTTAACCATTCAAGAAAGAGTCTGCATTTTCACAAGCCTTATCGTTGTTATTTTTCTTTCCCATCTGAAAACAGAAACTACTCTATGGTTCCACCGTGGCCAAGGTCTATCCCTTGTGGCCGTCGGCTGTTCATCATTTGTTTAAGTCAGTCCCTCTGTGGTTTCAGGTTCCCTGCCTGTTTAGGCAGTGAAACATAGCAGCATTATCAGCTGCTTAAGCTGCAAGTCTGAATTGAAACGGAGAGTTCGGGGGGGGGGGGGGGAATGAATGAGAAACTAATAGATTGTGGTGTGAGGGAAAACTACAAGAGAGGCTACAAAACCTTGTCAGTAAACATAAGAGTAGACAGAATAGGTTTTTCAAAAGAGAGTGAAGCTATAAAAAAAGGACAATGCTGAGAATTTATAACAAAGGAAAATGAAGAAAGTGGATTTTCCCACGAGCTAGATTGGTTCATTCTCCCTATATTTTTTGGTGACATTTTTCACTGGTTTGACAGACCAGGTAACGGAGATTTTATTTATTTAAATGTCTTTCAAACAAGAGTTCTGAGTGGCTGGCATATGCCAACTGTGGCTGATTTTAGTGCCATCAGTGATAGAATAACCTCTTGAGGAAGCTGATGGGATGGATGCTCAATTCCCACGGGCACAACTTTTCTCACTTCAAGCTACTCTTGTCCCAAATGCTATGTAAAGTACCCGCAGAGGATCCTAGCCACCGCTGGATCCATTATTGCAGTCCCAACATAATGTAGTAGTAGATGTGGGAAAGGGACATTTTCCTAGGAAGAGGAGAAAAGCCTTGTCACTTGCTATCCTAAAATAAGTTACTCTCTTTTCAGATCTTAAAGGAAAATGAATGATGCCAGAATAAAAACCTCCCCTAATCAGACAGTGTGATCCCCTTTATTGAATTTATGTAGAAATGACAAGTTGATAGTTCCAGACATTTGTTTTCTATATTTCCAGTATTAAAAAGAAAGGGAAATTAATAAAGATCTCTGGTCAACTCTCAAATCCAATTTTATGTGTATCTTCTCATAGTAGCAATGCATCATGGCTGTGCTTTCCGTTTTATAAAAAAATAAATCTTTAATTATATTTTGGAGTGTGCTTGTGCGTGTGTGTGTGTTGTGTGTGTGTGTGTATGTATGGTGTGTATGTTTGTATGTGGTGTGCATGTGTTGTGTTGTGTGTTCCATAGAGCACCTGTGGAAGTCAGAAGACAAGCTGTCCCACTCAGCTTTCTCTTCCACCATGTGGGTACTGGGGATCAAACTCAGGTCAACAGGCTTGGCAGCAAGCACCTTTGCTCAATGGACCATTTCATTGCTCAGTGGCTACATTTTCATAATACCAAGTCAGTAAATTAAAGCCTCGCAAGGTTTCTAAACTATCAGCCTTGATTTGTTACAATTTTATAGAGATACAACATACAATCCCAAGACAAGTATTTGTTTTTCACTCCAGGACTTAATGGGTTTTCATTCTGCAGCATTTTGAAAATCTGATCCTTATATGCCAGCTGGTTGTGCACGCTGGGCATAGCCATTAATCACCTATGTGTTAAGTCATGATCCTGATATTAATTTAAAAATGGAGACTTTTAAAAATAAGTATGATTGTATATACTAAAAATATCTGGTTCATATTCTTTATATTTTTATATGCTATAACATATAATTATGACCTTTCTCACAATGGGCCTGGGTGGAAGGCAGGTATGTGGCTAGAACCCAGGACCTAGCAACCCTAGGCACGTGCTATCAATACTCCACTGAGATTTCCCCCTTGCTCTAAACTCTTCCCTTTGAAGGTCTTTTTGGAATTTTGAATAAGGGATGATGGATTTTGAAGACATAGAAATCTAGCCCTGCTCACCCACCCCTCTCAAGTGCTCTGCTTCTCTAGGACTTTCCTTAGATTTACATTTCAACCCCACTTACTCTCTTTCTGTTTCAGATATGAGAAAAAGATGATTTGCATTCATGCTGAAGAAATAATGTGAACATCCTAGGCAACTCAAAAGTCTTTCTCTGACCATCATTTCACTTTTTTTCCCCAGACAGCCAAAGCAATGAGCAGGAGAAAAAACACTACACTTTCCAGGTCTCCTCTGTGTTACCTTTTGTCATCATCCAGGGTGTCTCTCTTGACTTTAATCCTGTCCTCGCCTGTGTTTTGATGAATACTGTAAAGACAGACATGTGTTTGTTATGAAGCTCACCCAGTGCATCCAGTCAAAGACAGATATACGTGTCAACTATCAATCCCATTCATTGTGTCCAGTCATAGACAGACACAAGTAACCATGATCAGTTTCTCATCCATTATGTCCAGTCCTCTACAGCAAAACTGGGAAAGGTGAAAAAAGCCATCAGAATGGATATTCTAAGACTGTCTTCCCAAGTCTGTGTTCTGCGGTTCCCAGTCTGCAGAGCTGGGTAACTGCATCTGTGCTCTCGTGAAGATCCACAGTGCATTTTAGTAGACCACAAACCCTAAGACATTCTGAAAAGGAACCTGATTGTGTTTGTTAAGTGAGCTACCTCCTGGACTTACGATAACTTGATGTCTTTCCTGGACCTTTACATCTCTGATATTTAAGGATGAAATTATAAAAGCATGATCGCAGGAGCCTGTGTGGGCATTATTTAGTAAAAATTTTAAGTAGAAAAAGTAATAAAAGCTAATTTTGAAAAAAGGTTGCAATAAGACTGTTGATATTTTATTTTGTAGAGAAAGTGGTCTCTAAATGTGGTGATGTAAACAGAGACTGTGCGTTCATTTTCTGGACACCCAGACCCAAATAATCACACAAAAACTATATTTATTACCATAGTTTGGCCAATGGCTCAGGTATATTCCTAGATAGCTCTTACATCTTAAATTAATACATCTCTATTATTTTATAATTTACCATGAGGCTTGTGGCTTGTTACTTCATATCTTGCTTCTTGGGCGGCTACATGACATCTGTTTGACTCTACCTTCTTTCTCCCTGCATTCAGTTTAGTTTTCCAAACTACCTATATTTTGCCCTTCCATAGGCCAAAGTAGGTTGTTTATTAACCAATATGGTAATAAAACATATTCCATAACATACAGAGGGGAATCCCACATCATGGTGACATACCCAAAGCATCCTTACTGTGATCTTCTAAGGAAAGCCAAACAATTTCTGACTATGATTACCTTCTTGTAATTTTGTTACATTAGAACACATATTATATTGGTTCAGTTATGAAGCACACAGGTGCTCAGATAGAGTCTGAGAAGAAACAGTAAATTAAATATTTCTATTTCTCAGATAATCAATGCATTTACCTTATATTAACCACATAAACAGTGTAGTTCCAGTTCTGGAGGGTTGAATTGAGCTGGAAGACACGATGGAAAAGGGTGAGTTGCAGTAAAGCTTAAAAACATTCTTTTCTGAGTCAAGGTTGTCCCCTTTCCAAAACATGAGCTGTCACTGGGAAAGAAAAGACCCTGGGAAAATGCTGCAGAACCACAAGGGTGAAAGATAAAGGAAGGGTTGGTTGTTGGGCCAGAGAAGCCAAGGAAGTAATGAATGCCATGTCTTTTCATCCGTACATTAGTCACTGAATAAGACACTACATTCCCACACAAACTCCGCACTCTTGTTTATGAAGAAATAGAGTCTGGAGAGATGAAGTAGCTTTTTCATAACCATCTGTTAATCACCAGCAGATCTCACACTGGAACTCAAGCTGCTGTGGTGTGAAACACTGTCATTTCCTCTCTAGCTAACAGTCTACCAAACCCCAATAAACACTGTCATTTCATCTCTAGCTAACAGCCTACCAACCCCTTGATAAACACTTTCCTTTGGTTACATTAATTACTGAGATGCAATTGAACATGTTTTGTGGTAATTGCCATCTCATAAGAACATCAGTGATAAGAAAAAGTTTAAGTAGGAAAATACATCTTTGATAAAGCCCCATGATATTGGGATGATGCCAAAGTGGTTAAAAGTGATGGTATGGGTCAGAATATGAACAGCAAATTTCTATGGTGTAACCACAAGAAATCCTGTTACCTTTAAGTCTCTTCCAAGGCTTATTTGGTCATATTTCGTACACATCTTTAGTTTTGATGTAAACATTACTAAAATGCAATGCAAATTTTAAAAAAAACATTGGAAAAATAATGACAACTATTTTCTGTGTTCTTAGGATGTGGATGCTTTATCTAAGTTTGGTACTTAGAGCCAAAGTCTTTCAGATTTCTGATTATTTTCCCAGATCTGGAATATTTGCATGGACTTCTTAGTTTATCATCCTTAACTCAAATACTCAAGAGATCTGTGAGATTTTGAGTTTTCAGGTTAGATGATCCTTGTAACGGGTGTTGGGGTGTGATGTTTTCAAACATCCACTTTGGGAACATGCCTCTCAAATGAAAAGGAGCTAATGAATTTTAGCTTCTGATGACAATGATGTTGGGAGGAAAATTGCAAGATGCAAATGTCAAATTGCACCCTATCTAATGCAAGCCCACCAGTTAGTGCTCATTCCGTGATTAGTAACACCAGCCATGGCTAGAGAATGCAAAGAAATAATTTCATATTTATTAATCATTCTGCCCATAAGAGCAATAAAAAAGAGGAGTGTGGAAAGAAAATGGTTTTCAAAAAGGCATCCCTTCTCCACAGTTTTCTTCCTGTCTCATCACTGAGCACATAATTCCTGTTCCAATCCAAGGAGACTATCTCTCTTCATGAACATAAACAGAAAGCCTTGTTTCTATCTAGTCATATACTTTTTAATTTTATTTCTAATTATGTGTATGTAAATGTGTCTATATGGGGGGTAAGCACATTCAAGTATAGTTCCCAAGAAGACCAAAAGTGGGCAGCTCCCCTGGAGCTGGAATTGCAGGTAGTTGTGAGGCACCAGATGTGGATGCTGGGAACTGAAGCTGGATGGTCTTCAAGAGCAACCACACACTGTTAGCCACTGGTCCTCTTCTCTAGCACCCTGTTCATATATTTATAATGAGCATCACTTGTGCCATTATAGAATCTTCAGTTTCATTCATTATCTTTACCATCAATAAAGAAGCTGAAGTTTTAAAGCCAGAATCAAGGAAATCAGTTCACTTACCCACTCTGCTACCTTGCTCTGTACTTTTACTTCCGGGTGATTAAGGTCATTGTGAATCACAACAGATATTCTATACATTATTCCGTCTGCACATTGGAAATAGGATTAAAATTTAATTATTTTTTACACTTGGAACAAACAATGCAAATTCACAATCACATCACTTCACATACGTTTAAACACACGGGCACAGGGTGTTTGGGGATAAGTTTGATGCTAAAATTACTCTTACAACTGCTTAGAAGGAGTTATTGATTAGTTTACTCATAGATATTTTCATTGCTACTAAGTCATCACTTGGCTATGACCATTGTAATACTTGCAAGCTAGTTTTTAATTCTATAGATTTCTGGTACCTAAAGATGATAAAGTGAGTTTTCCATATGAAGTTGGTTTTAGTTAATAAGAAAATACACTTTTTTGTTTGTGGCTAAAAATGGTAGTTTGGGAATGTGAAACACTAAGTGATTCGAATCCTTGGCAAGATTGATACTGGAAATAAACAGGCACACACATGCCTCCTCTTCAGTGGTCCTTTCCTCCCTCCCTGCTTTGTTCTCCTCAGAGAAGCACTCACTTCCTGAAGTATTAGGCAAAATCTGACCAAACTTCTCTCATTTAAGTTTCTAAGTATAGCCCCTCTACCAAAATAGAGAGGAGGAAGGCTAATATTGACAGGCAGGATTTTAAGTGGTGGAACGAGCTTTATGAAGAAAGCCATACTCCAAACGAAGGTTCTGGTTTTTCATCTTAGTGGCTCTTTTAAGTAGTTGAGTCTTTATGTCCTCAAAGGTTTTGTTTGAGTAACTGGGTACCACACAGGAGCTAACTGTGCACCACACAGGACATGACTCAAGGTAACCAACGAAAGAAAACCACCCTTTTAAAATTGAAGTTAAAGTGACGGGGAAAACAGATATCTATTAGTGTGAGCCACATTTGCGCATACTTTTTGGTAAGCCTTAAGTACAAAACATAAGCTATCTAGAAATATACAATTAAACAATGCTAAGGAGTACATTCAATGCAAATTTGGGGGAGTCAGTCAGTGCTAAACTATATATAAAAACATGTCTTTGGAAAGTCCCAGCTGTACCAGAAATGCAAATAATAGTTCTGTAAGTCCCATGTGAAATAGCAGGAATTTCTACCTTATATAGTAATACAGATATGCAAAAAATATGTTCAAAGACCAGAGAGCTTAGTTTATACAGAGAAGTTATTTCAGTGTCTAAAACTATTGTTTTAATGATCTTCAATTTTTTATTTCTTTAAAACATGTTCTGAGTGGAAACTATTTAGACTCATGTAAAAGAGATGGCAATAACTTTTGTTTTTTTTTTTTAAAAAACATATCCTACACAACAGGACTCCTCACATGAAATCATGGACCTGCTGAGTGCTTAGAGGAAATTCAAGTTGCAGAGTGCAATGTCCCAGTATCCTGGGTTAGTCTAGGAAGCCAGGGAGGCTTGGAGTGTTTCTAAAAGCTACCACTAGATGGAGCACTAAATATAAGCCATTTTTTTTCTTAGGTTGAACATACTACAAAATGGTAAAAATGTAAATAGTTTAACTACTGACATTTCTGAAATTTTATGGAAACATCCAAATATTTAGCCCAGTTTCTTTCAATTTTAAAGGTTTCCTGTCCCCACTTTTTCCTTCAGTTCATTGTTTTCAGAAAATGAGACATTCAGCATCAGACGACCTTAGTACTTTTTAGCACTATTTATGAAAGTTGTAACTAGATTACGTTCTCAAATAAACTAGTATCTCATACTAAGGTTTTTTTGTGTGTTATGAAGAATTAGTCTCTGCTCAGAAACCACAGAATTATCAACTTAGTTAAAACTTAATGGGGCCTGCTTGTTACTTATTTAAAAATTTTTGGGTAATTTTATGGGTAATTATGTGATTCTCAGGACAGGAACCAAAGGAATAAAAAATGAATGTCTACTGGTGGACTGTTGAGAGGGATTTTTTATTGAGAAATTAATTTGCTTAAACATTGTTACTAGGGAAATGTCTAGGCTCCTCTTGTTATCAGAGCAGCAAGTCATTGCCTATAGACAGAAAATGATATTCTTGTATCATGACCATCCACAAATCTTCATGTATCCCCATGACTTCAAAAGGTATTGTTCTAACAATTTCATATAGACCAGAATACCCTCTGATAAACTTAATGAGGAGTAAGCTAACTAAATAAGTATGTATATATTTAATTTCCTGCCAAGTACCTCTTCCAGCCATATAAAACTTCAGAGAGCTATTGGAGATATGGTATTAGGCAGTATTTCATACTGTAGGTCTCCAGTTCACTATCCAAGTTCCTTGAGGAATACAAAAATCATCTCCAAAGTTGTGAAACATAGGATTGAGGTGATGAAATTGAATGTATTTATTTGAAAAGACAAATTAAAATCTGACTCACATGCTGTTTAGATTTCACATTCTTCCTCCAAACTGTCAAAGAACCAATTAAGTCAGCTGCATTTATACTATGAATGGCAACCTGCCTGCCCTTGCATGTCCCGTTTCTTTAAGACATCTGGCATATAAATCTACAATGACTGCTGGACCCACACAAAGGTCCTGCAAGCGAATTTGTTATTTGACTAGCTAAACACATGAGAAATTGGAAGGAACACTGCAACTTGCACTTGTGAACAAGATTTCCACAATAATGAGGACCAACAAAGCTAGTACTCAGTTGGGCTGCATGTGCCTAGATCATCGAAGTTCACTAGTTAGTAGGGTTGGTGTTGATGCAAGCACAGACAATATCATTAAGAATGGAAATAATCCTTATTCCAAGAGCACTTGGGAGAAGGACAAGGAGATTGGGCAAAGATTCATTATTTGTGGGAACACCTAGACATCTATGACATCCTGAAATACCTGTGAGATGGTGTCTGAAAAATGGCACTCATGGTATGTAATGTGAGGTAAAGAGATTTGGAAAGAAAAATAAGATCATGTCACAACAATCAGAACCAATTTGGTTGCTAAAACAAGGCAGAATATCTGATCATCAAGCGATCTAGCTCTCTCTCTTAAAACACTGGTAAATTATTATTGATAAACTCAGTAAAATTCTGGTAGCCCAGAGTAAAGAGAACTGGATAAGGGAGATAATAGACTTGGCAGTTGTCCCAATCTTCCTGACAATGGAAAGATAGGATTTACTAATAAATCAGATGCTAACCTGAGAATGTTTACTGTACCAACTTCTCAAAGAGTAAGAAGTTGCTGGTAGCATGTGAATGACATTGGAGACCCCACGACATAACATAACTGTGATTTTATTATAGTGAAAAAAAAATCTCAGTCATTTTAAATTTGAACAGAAGGAAAAACCTTATTTGAATTTTTTGTTTGCGGTACTTTGTTACTTACTTTTTAGAAAAGATAATGAAAGGCTCAGACGGTGAGGCCTCAGAAATCCAGTAGAATAGAAGAAATAATTGTGGAACACTGTGGCACTGCACTTATTTCAAGTTTTTATTTCTGTAGTTATGGTTTCTTTATATAATAGTGAAATCCCATGTAAGTACAGATAAAGAAGGAGTCAGCCATTGAATAAAGAGCACATGGCTAGAGTACTTGGTAAAAATTGCTAGGATGATAAAAAAAATAATTGGAGCACAAAAGTTTGAGATGATTTTTGCCACACGGTGACATAATATTGAATGGCTAAAATTATATGTTAATCACAACAGTCATCTGAATTAGCTTCTTCTTTATTAATGTGGTCGAGATAAGCCATTTTAATGGACTGTAATATTTGCCTGCTTTGTTGAAACTCCAATGAAAGTTATGACGCAGAGATGAACGGCCTGAACAAGGCTCCCTTCAAAAGTGTTAGGCCCCGCATGAATCAGCGGATACAGCTCCAGTCCACCAAGTTATGGGCTCTGAAGTACCCATGTCAATGTTCTTGGGCAGCAGAGGACATGCCAGTTCTGAAGGGAGAGCGCCACAGAGGCTCTTTGTGTGCTCATACAAAGAGGGAAATACTTAGTTAGAATTGTAATATTCCCATCTGATGGCAGGAGTCCATGTGAAGTATGCACTGGAACCTAATACTGCTGCTGCTTGCTGTGGGGGAGGAGGAGGTGCCGGAATCATAAATATCTGTGGTATAAAACGAGCAGAATAACCACAAACATTTCCTGGAATTGATGTCCTTATAACCGTCACAAAATGTATATCCATGTTTCATGTGAAATTTTCCATACTTCTAATGTGAATGTCCTTACAAAGGAAGTTCATGAAATATCTAAAGCTATAAGAATAAGAGTAAACTATATGGGTTTATTTTTCCCTGGGTTTGGGGTTTCTGGTGATACATTACAGATGTTTTGAACTTACAAGCTACAGGACTGGATTTTATAAAACCTTTTTTGCCTCTAGTATCTCATATTTGAGAATATTACTTTGTTGAAAGCAATGGGGCAATCACTTGATTGGAATGTGTCTTTATTATAAGACTCTGAAATCACTAACTCCAAATAGCAAACAAAATGTGACCCATATATGAGACAGAATTAGATAAAGAATTGGTCCATCTGACTTTCTCTCTACTGGCTTCTTACAAGATATAGCTACCACAGTTGGACATTATGATTACTACTAATAGAAAAACATAAAAAGAAAAAATAGCAGGAAATGCTGGAATTACTTGAAATTTTATCATTCAAAAATAGGGGCTCTCAGGGGAACTCAGAGTTAGGGCACTTGCTTGATATATGGAACACTGGATTTAAGTCCCAGGACAGCAAAACCACCCCCAAACTGATTCGTAACTTGACTGATAACCCATCCTCACCAGCGTTCTTCAAGAAGTGATAAAAAGGTACTAACCATTACCATGGCCACTAATACAAATCTCACAGTGTAAGCACAGAGCTGACTTCCACAAAACCTTAAATGCCAAGAATCAGGTTTCTGACACATCATAGCATCCTTTAGAAACCTGTTTCCTCAGGTGGTACCCTTTGCAGTGCACTGAGAAATCCTAGTTCTCAAACAAACAGAAAGTTCCTCAGGTGTCTTAATTTGACAAAACACTATAAAAAGCAAAGCACCCCTTTCCCATCCTCGAGTGTATTATAGTGAAAATTAATTCCTTTCGATTAAATATCTTTTCCTTAAAATCTTCTCTGAAAGAAAATAGCTCATAGTGAAGAAAAGAAGTACTCGGCTCTACCGGTTCAGCGGGGACTCAAGACACAGTGATGTTTGTTTTACTAGTCTTTGGATGTGCTAATGAACCAAGTGTTGCCAATCATACAACATTGCTGCAACAATCTGTCTTTCCACTCTCAGAATACAATTTTACATACTGTAGACATACCACACACAGGATCTTACCAAATGAGTCTTACCATTCTTTGGTTTATGGGTTCTGTTAGTAACAGGGATATTAGTGGTGACAGTGGGTGGTGTAGTACTAGGAGGGTTTACAGTAGCTGGCAATAAAGATGAGAAAGATGCAATTTTAAAAGGAGCATAAAACAGTTAATATGGACAAGCAATCTACAGCTACTATAAGAAAATGCACAAGAGAATTGAAACCATTTCATGCTACTAATACAGTAGACTAAAAGCTTACAGTGCATAAAACAAAGCAAGACTTTCTATGGTACATTAAGAATCAGTTTGCATGGCTTTGGTGCTACATTGCACAAAGGCTCAGAGCTGACACAGAGGGACTGGAGAAAACACAGTTGGATTCTATACCTACATGTGCAATTGAGAGGCTGGTAAGCCCATGGGAAATTACTCTTTCTAGAAACTAGTTCCCAGAGACCACTGAAAGAAAGTTAAAAGCAGGCAATCTGCATAATTTTACACCTTAGCAGTTATCTAAACTAAGTCAAGTCTGGACTGATGCACAGAGACAAGGGAAATAAAATAGCAAAATAAAAAGTATCCCTCCTTGAAAAGATAATGAAAAAGAAAAACAAGGGGATGATGTGCATGGACTAATCCAATCATTTGGAGGCCCTAGAAACGTCACAAACACTAGTGGGTGGGAAATATTTCATAAGGACAACCCTTAAAGGGAGGCATTTCATAAGTCCTATGGCTAAGCTGTTTGTCTGTTACTTGAAAATGCACAAAAAAGAAATCCTTTTGTATTGCTTCGACAGCTTCTTTCTTGGAGATGGTATGTCTCTGTAAGAAGAAAATTAACCAAGCACACAGCTGTCCTTTGGTTTATCTTATGGATGTATTTGTGTCGGAGCATAATCATGTATACAATGACTATCTATTATATCATTTTAATTGTTACGTAAGCATAAAACAGTGAAGAGATGATCCAGAGAATCACCTTCCAAAGGCACCAGAGAAAATGCTGAACTCCTTGATGCAAAAATGCGTGCAGTGACAATGATTTTCCATTCCAGAATAAAATAAAAACTTAAGAATGGGAACAATTTTCCTTTCTGTAAATCAAAACTCGGAATAATTGTGCTCACCCTAATGCAAATGCATCATGAAAATATTTGTGTTCATTAAGGAAAAAACGGGGACTACCTGAGGAGAATGCTGAGCTTCTGGACCTTTGGTCCAACAGAATGAGTTCTTTAGATTCTTATATTAAAATAATAAAAAATTAATGAATTTTCAAAACCTTGGGATCAAAGGTCTTCTGCTATGTTTTTACAAAACTATTTCGTAACTTCATGGAGTTCATGGGGGAAAACAATGTCATTTTCTTGAGGAATTGATTGGTAATAATATTCACGTTATCTTAGAAGGGAAATCCAAAAATAGTGCGTTTCCTCCTTGCCCTGCCTGGCTGACCCTCAGACTGCAAAGAGCCTAAATTCTACTTGCATGATCTTACTTTGAGTCTGTCGCCTCTGTGCCATGATCCTTTTTAACAAAGCCACCTTCTATGGGAAGGCATACCCACGATTCTAATGTGAAGCATAGAAGATGCTACTTTTTATAGAGAAATTTAGCATGACAATGGATAAAAACTGCTCACAAAAATTAGAAAGAGTAATGATAAGTTTAAGCAATCTATTTTTGTTATATATTGCATACATATGTAACTATATTAATAGCATACAACTACTTTGTACGTAAAACAATTCTATCTCCAATATAATCACCAATCAAAATAACATAGTAATATTAACACTAGATTACTTCAACAATTTTTATCTAAAGATTCAAGTTATACAACATAACACAAATTGACCCACTGGTTTTATCTTTAAATCTTATCTCAATATTCAGTATAAGATTTTCTATCAATTTATGGATATGAGCACCTCTTCAAGATACTGCACAACTGCATATCCAAGACACTTGCAATAATCTTGAGAAGAAAAGTGGGGAGAAATGAAACCAATCCATTCAAGCAATATATAACCATTCACATTTAGAAAAACCCTGCGTTTTATGGAAATACAGCCAATGTGGCCATTATGTCCTGACAACATTATTGGTGCACACCACATCCAGATATCCTGTTTTGCTGTTTCTGTGTTTTCAGGTGAAAATTAAATTACAGACCAAAGCACCGACAACATCATCCCTAAACAGCAAGCATAAAACACAAAAAAAGGTTTAGGAAGATGACATCGACTTCCTACCTTGACAGAGAGTCCCCAGATCCGAACAGTTCGTCAGCTCAGCTGCGGGCAGAGGGATCAGGTAGGAACCTAGGTCAACACAGACACATATCCAAATTTAACTTGTGATTTGCTGATATTATCCAAAGAGTCAATATTATGAATCATGTAATTGGTAAGGCAGAAACTGTCCTCAGAGAGTCAACCAACAGTGTTCCAACATGAAAGGTCTTATAAGGTTACCTTAATTTCCTCAAATGCACAACTGAAGAATTGCCGTTGCCCTCAAAATCTTGAGCTCTAATTTTCAGTCATTTAAACATGAAAGGAAAGAAGCACAACTGTCCCTTTAAGTTTGTGTAAAAACCTTTGGTGCCTTTTTGAATAATGAACTATGAAACTCAGATGCTCTCTGTTGATCTAAATCTTCATGGAATAACAATGGGCTTAACTTATTGCAAAATAGGGCATTTGTTTAAAGAAATAATTAACTCAAAGCTATACATTATACATACATCATACAGATATACTATATATCTAAATTTGAAAAACGTTTATGTAGTAGTGAATTCATTCAAATGTTTAAACATTTGTCCAACTTTCCCATGGGAAAACAATGTGAAGGCAGAGCAGGTGCACGAGCTCACAAAGTGTGTTTAATTAGGTAAGCAGTAGACACAAACAGAAAACATTTAGCTTAATAGCATCTAGGGATGTATAATTTCCTTCTTTTCAGATGCCGCAAGCTCCTGGCTCATGGAAAGAATTCCAGTACATCAGAAAGGACCAGCCCTTCAGGCAGGTCTATGATATGATATTTGCTGGTAAGAACTACCTCATGGATTCCTGCAACAAAGACACTTTACCTACAGTTGATGACATGTGGAGGAAAAATTCCTGCCACTACGCCGACTTTCTCAGAGACACCATCAGAAGCTAGCCTCACTGTAACATACGCCAAGGTACCTAGGGAAGAGTGTCAACCATGGTGGTGGCCAACAGGAAGCTGTGTCATCAGCTTGGTGAGAAGAATGAACAGGAAACACAGCATTACAGGTACTGAGGAGGCAAGAGCTCTGAGGCCACAGGATTTCCCAAACATGTGCCTATGTGGTACTGGAGAGAGCAGGGAGTGCACACTCTTGGCACTACTGTATTAGAGTAATTACTGAAAACTGTGGGAATGATCAGATAGATGCCAGCGCAGCATGTGCAAGGACTTCTAGACTACAAAGGGCTGGAACACTAAGGCCGTTAAGTCTTTCTCCCAATCCCGGATCCCATACAGTAGGTGCATGCTTAAGCTTCACTAAGCAAATTATGAATGAATTAATCCCAGCATGAATGACTGCTAAATTTAGCCTAAACTCTTTTTTTTTTAAAAAAGCAATTGGAATAAACGAAGGGGTGCTTGGTAAGACTACAGACTGTGGTTTGAAAATAGCAATTTTGATGTGGGAAGACGCAAGAAGGTAAAGCAATATTAAACATTCAGGTTTTATATCACATGTCTCAAGAAGATAGACTGAAAGAGAGAGAAGGACACAAAGAATATGAAGATAGATTATGTAAGATTCAGTGACTAATTGAAAAGAGAAAGGGAAGGAGGGAGAAAACTTTGCTGGTTTCCAACTTGAGAAAGTAGGCATGATGACATCACAAATGGAGAAAGGAAACAGAAAGATCATGGATTATCTTCTGCTATGTCTGGCAAGGAATGCCATCTGCCTGTAGGACGTCTGTAGTTCACACGTGAGAAGCTGTCTTTCTGTAAGGGGACCAGTCAACAAAAGGTACCAATGAGACTGTGTTCACCCGAGTATGAGTTCAAGAAGAGAACAGATTAAACTTTAGCTATTGCTATATTTAAGTTTCCAATGCAGAGATTTGGGGGGGGGGGGATAAAAGCAGCCCTTGAACAAGGTGGCTTCACAGAATTTAAGTAAGGAAAGTTGAATGGAGGGTGTGGCGCCAATGAGTGGAATTGAAAGGTTGAAGAGATAAAGTCTGAAAAGGCCTCTAACTTCTCTGGACAGGAATCAGTGTTAGTCTCGTGGGAACAATGAAACTCAGACTGCGGCTTTTGGAGAGTGAATGTGGCAGGAGGAAGCCTGGCTGTGCAAGGAAGCAGAGATAGGAAGGGGGAGTTTTGAAGACTGAAAACCTAAGCAAGTGTGTGCCCTGGGAAAGGCATGTGATGTGGCAAAGTGGAGGGAGGGCAGAGATAGAGGGGGAACTTATCTTCAGAGTTTGGTGCCCCTTGTGCAAGTCCATTTTTTTTTTTTTCAGACTTTTACAGGCACTTTTAGCAAGGACTTCTGAAAACTAACAAGCCTATCAGACTCATGTGACTGGAGAAATCTCAACCATTGTGACAGGGCACAGTGGAGACCCTTGGATGAGGTTCCCGTAGTTCTCAGATTACACAAAATGCTGGCAGTCCAGGGCTCCTGAGAGGCTTCAGAAACTGATATGGTATCTCTCCAAGACAAAGAGAGATAAGGGACAATGTTGTGGGAAAGAAGTTTCTAGGCTAACTACATTTCCACCCTAGTGTATCTAGGAACTCAGAGGTGGGAATAAGGGGAAACATCAGGTGAGGGACCATGATTTAGAACAAGATCTTGACCGTTTTATCAGAGTCATTGTATACATTTCAATCTGTGGCTTCCTTTCAGAAGAAATTATAAACATTTGCTTCTGAATATTTTAATTAGTTGTTCTTTCTAAGGGAAGGTCAAGTTTATCAAATTACCAGTGTTGTATAAATACTGAATAGATAGATACCATTGTATCTCAAGAGCACTAGAAATTACATATGAAATATTTTTACATGCAAATGGCATAAAAGCAAGTGCCACAATTTAATTAGAAGGTAATAACAATGGTAAAGGAAATCTCATATTACAAATACCTTAGACTATGTAAACAAATACATGAAATACAAAAAGTAAACAGTGCTGGGTATGGGGAAATGCCATTGTAGGTTTACTACTCAGAAGATTGAGGCAGGAGGATGACTTGAGCCCAGGAGTTCTAGGCTAGTCTGGTGAACAAAGCAAGACACCATCTCAAATAACTGAGTAAATACCCAAAATATACACAAACATAACATTTCTACTCATTTGCATTTTGTTACCCAGTGTGGTAGGTTTACAAATTTACAGCTGGGAGACTGTGACAGAAGCAAACTGGTCTCTTGGGACAATGACCTCTCAGTCATCAGTGGTGTTATGTGATCTCTGCATGGGTCTGGCTTTTGAGTCTCCTAAGGGTATATAAAGCTTATTACCTAACAGCAAAATTTAGAGTCACATTTTATTGTTTTTTTAAAAAAAAATCTTACAAATGAATCATTAGGACTGGGTTTACAGTTCAATCAGGAGACTGCAAGACAAGGCCCAACCCATGAAGCCTTGACTTCCAGTCCCACTGCATGAAGCTGGTATGGCAGCATGTATCTCAGCACTTGGGAGGAAGAGAGACAGAACCCATCATAGGGATCCATAGGGACCTTCAGAACAAATCAGTTAGGGATCTTGTCTCAAAACAGAAAAAAGTGACAATTGAAAATGAAACAAAATACCATCAAGGGCTCCAGGCTCCTCTTTCCGCTGTTCTCCCAGCCAGGAAGGATCCTGACAGGAGTCACTCCCTTTGTGCAGGTCATGTTAGCACTCACTGATGTGTAGCCAGCAGCGTATCTCACAGCCTAAATTAATACTTACAAAAATAGTACAGCAAGTTAAAAATGATTTGGAAAAATATAATCCTCTCCAAGTTTCTCTCTATTGGTGTTACTAAGATGAATTTCATAATTTTCCGTAAGTAAATGTATTATAAACTTATTTTATGATTTTTAAAAACATTTCCCTTTTTTGTACTGTGTTATGTATGTTCATGTATATGTATGTTTGTACAACTATGTGCATGTGTGTATAAAGGTCACTTAGTTGATGCCCGGTATCTTCCTGGACCGCTTTCTCCTTTATCTTTTGATTTGGAGTCCCTCATTCAACCTGGGTCTCACTACATTGCTTGGTTAGTGTGACCTTCCTGTCCCTGCCTCTTTACTGCTGGGATTATAGGGTTTTTGAGTTTGTGTCAAAATTCAAACTCAGGTCCTCTGAGTCACCTTTTCAGTTTTCTTTTATGACATTTATCATTACTTTGTATTTAAAATTATTTCTGAAGATCACATAGGCTCATGAGTTTGAACACCCTCTACAAATAATAGGATGTCATTATAAAGCGATTATACTTTCTATTAAAAATGATCTAATAATTTAACAATGATTAATGCAGTCATTTGTTGTGCATGAAACTAAGGACCAGCAATTGAATTTCAGAGCTGTGAAAGCCAGGACTGTAGTTTATTAAGTAGATAATTATAAAAAGAATGGTATTTAGAGAGTAATGGGGCCTTTGTGATCAGGAGTAAAATTTTAGAGAGCCCTAAAGTCCAGAGAAAAATTAATAAATCTTAGAAAAAAAGCAACAACCAAGTTGGGTACTTTGGAACTTGTGTCTTATCTCTATCTTAGTCATCCACAATTACTAAGAGATGAAAGTCTTTAGAAATGCTAGATAAATAAATGTAACTTGCTTGAACTTCAGCTGTTCATTGAGTACCACTCCTCAGGAAAGAGTAGCAATCAGTTAAGTAAATAAAACTAGACAGAAAGTACTGTCTGTTCTTTGTGAACATGGATGGGCATTAGCCAATGTCTTAAATGTAATCACAACCCAGGCAAATACTTGTGCCTATAATTAAAGGGTCAGCAAAGGAAATGACATGTTCCTGAGGGTCATAAAACTGGATATGCTTGAAATTTGTTCTAGGAAAAATAAAGATGCTATAATGTTAAAAAAAAAAACAAAACCCACTATCAATGCTACTGCATTTGTAATGGTAAAGAACCGACCAGATTGACTTCATTTAAAAAAAGATGAATTAGCCGGAAAAAAAAAATTCTTAATTCGGAGGTAGTCTCCAAATATTAAAAAAATACAGAAAAACCAAAACAGTGTGACTATAAAATTATTGAAACAGTTACTGATGACATTGGTTTTATATTTACTATGTGAGAAAAGTGACAGCATACTTAAACATTAAATGTAATCTGTGCTGTCTAACCCCCTTACTTTCCCTTTATGTAATTTATCCAGCAACACACAGATGGAAAATGTATTCATTTCCTTCCACAAGTGGATACTAGAATAGTCAATACTTGGCAGACATTGCCAGTCTCCTGGAATGCAAGGAATGAGCCTGCACTTTCCCATTGGTTACTGTACTCATTGAAAACGTGTGGAATTATGATGACCATAGGCAGCAAACCACAATATTTTCAGGGGGGAGGAGGAGGTTAAAATATTAATAGAACACACTTTATTTTTCTTGGTTATTGAAGTTTTGCTCAACCGATGCGGCCGAGATACAATCTTTGTACAGGTATTTCCCGTCCGTTCATAAGTGACTTGTCTTCTTCAGCCCCAGGCTGATGATTAAGTAGCAGGAAATTCCTTCTCCCACCAATCTAACTGACAGGCACGGCAAGCCATCTGAGCACAAATGGTCAGGGGAGGGGGGCAGGGAATAGGTCACCCTGTGGTGTTAAAAAGACAGCTATAAAGTTAACGAGGCTCAAACGCATTGAGTCTAAGACTGCACTGCTCTTACGATTGAATCATTTTGCAGACTTACAGATGACTTGTTGATATGTGAGCCTGCATTTGATACATTCTGGTAATCTTAAGAAGAGAAGCTCAAAGGTGGTGTTTAAGAAAATGGAAGGAATACATGATCTCGCTTATGTGTGGAAGCCCAAGAGGTTGAAATCATAGAAACAGAATAGATCGGTGATTCACAGGGCCTGGAGAGCAGAAGTAGGCAGAATGGCCTTTACCAGCAGAAGGTAAGAAGCTCAGGAGTGAACAGTTTAGAGGATCTACTATTCTGCATGAGGGTTGTAGTTGAAAGTGATGTAATGTGTGTTTAAAACTGCTTAGAACCTGCTGATGGTATAACCAGTCTCTGAGATCCGTTCCTCGGATGCAAAACACTAAAAGGGATATGGTGAAGACTTAAAATCTTTTCACTACGAAGAAATGACAGAGTATGATGTTGTAAGTTGAACTAGCCACTTTGCATGTATAGAGGCAACATCATGCAACATGAATACATAACAATTTTGTCAATTATAAACGGTATTAATTGCTGGGCAGTGGTGAAACATTCCTTTAATCCCAGCACTGGGGAGGCAAGGGCAGGCATATCTCTGTGATGTGGGAGTGATTTCTTATTAATAAAGAAACTGCCTAGACCCATTTGATAGGCCAACCCTTAGGTAGGTGGAGAAAACAGAACAGAATGCTGGGAGAAAGAAGCTAAATCAGAGAGTCGCCATGATTCTCCCACTCCAGGCAGACGCAGGTTAAGATCTTTCTCTGGTAAGCCACCTCGTGGGCTACCCACATTATTAAAAATGGGCTAGTCTAGGTGCGAGAGTTAGCCGAGAAAAGGCTAGATATAATGGGCCAAGCGGTGAGTAAAAGAATACAGTTTCCGTGTAATTATTTTGGGTATAAAGCTAGCCGTGCGGGCGGCTGGGTGACGGGACACAGCCCCGCTGCTCCTATTTCAACATCTCTGTGAGCTCGAGGCCAGCCTGGTTTATAGAGCAAGTTCTAGGACTGTCTCCATAGCTGCTGGAAAACCCTGTCTTGAAAAACCAAAAAAAAAAAAAATGTATTAATTAATTAAATATTTGTTAAAAGCTGAGGTTCCTAGGTATGAATTAATGATGTGTGTTAGCAAACTGATGTGTTTTTCTACTCTTCATTTTCTTCCCTATTTAAAGCAAAAGGAATGGTCTAAATTGGGATCTGCACGCTTAAGTGGCAGCCAGGGTGAGAACGTAAGCCTGAAGAGGAAGAAACAAACCAGGAGGGAGGATATAAAGGTGATGAAGGCTGAGAAGAACTCTAAGCCTCTTCAACAGGAACAAGCACAGCTCACCTCTGGCGGTGTAATCCACGCAGAGATACCAACCAGGTATTTGTGTTTGCCCAAACAATTGAATTGTTCATTTTACTGGAAATCTAATCTTTCGATGTTAGAAATAATGTCACCACGGAAACTCACAATGTTTAACGAGTGCAGGCGAAGAGCACATATCAATCTATCTGCTCCTCCCAAGTGTAAGGGCGCACAGGGACTTGCTTTCCTACAGCTGGATGCCTTTCCCACTGCTGCTCACAGTGCGGGTCTCAACAATTCTTAGGGATCTTTGTGCTAGTTTCCGGCTCAGTAAACTTGCTCATGAAGATCAACAGGAAATATTTTAGGATGATTGGACTTAGAGGAATTGACAGCAAATATTTAAAGACAATGCGCCATGTCATATCTGTCAGTATCGAACAATTTGGCCCTGTTAGCGTAATCACAGTGACTTAAAGTATATAAATCTATAAACATAGCTGCGCTCCTAGGAAATGTTATTTACAAAGATAGTCCTTCCACTTTGCCAAAGCTTAGTCCAAAGGATTTTTTTCTAATATCATATATGAATTCTTTTGAATAATAGCTCTCTCTTTAATAAGATGTATGCTACCAGCACCTAAGAATTCATGCTATGATATTTAAATCAATAACAGAACCATTTTCTGTAGATGTTTAAATCAGTTCTATAATAAAATATGACTTTTAGAATTAACTTCTATGTTATAAAGAATACTGAATAGAAGTCTATTTCAATACACTTTCTGTTACATATAATCATTTTCCATAATAACTTGAATTCAGCTATTTCCAGTGATGTCACAATTAAAGCCTCCTAATACACAACCTAGAAGAAAAGAGTATTGTGATGGAGGTGGGTCTTGTATCTTATCTGTTGGTTTCATTGGTTAACTAATAAAGGAACTGCCTTGCCCCTCATAGGACAGAAAATTAGGTAGGCAAAGTAGACAGAACAGAATGCTGGGAGAAAGAAGCCAAGTCAGGGAGTCGCCATGATTCTCCCACCCGACACAGCAGCAGGTTAAGATCTTCCCTGGTAAGCCACCTCGTGGGCTACACAGATTATTAGAAATGGGTTAGATCAATATGTAAGAGCTAGCCAATAAGAGGCTGGAACTAATGGGCCAGGCGGTGTTTAAAAGAATACAGTTTCCGTGTAATTATTTCTGGGCATAAGCTAGCCATGCGGGCGGCTGGGTGCAGGGGATGCAGCCCCGCTGCTCATATTACAACACTATTGGAAATGAACAACAAATGTTTGCTGTCAAGCAAATAGTGATGTGTTAAAATAAATGCAGTAATTCTAGATTAATCAAAAATTACCATACAAGGACAGCTGGATATTTGGCTCAGGCTGAATAAGTGACTGTCTATTTAGGTAATACCATAGAAATTCTGCTCCAGAATGAAAAAGGCCAGTGCATTATGGGAACATTTTGGTGAGTAAAATGTACAACTTGTGAATTTCTTGGGGTTCAAATCTAGTGCTAAAGTTTTAAGAGTGGGCCAATCATTTTGAACATTTCGCTAACGATAAATTAATAATGTGATGTTTTGTGACCCAGGGAATACTTAAGAATGGCAAGCCCACTTTGACTGAGTAAACATGGTTCATCATCAAATACACCCTGTAAAGGGCTGAACTGGTCATGGTTTAAAGCTAAGAGATCTTAGCGGTGGTTCTAGGTACACATATGTATGCATCATTTCTTAATGACGAACAGATTCAGCGAACAACGCTAAAGACATGAAGCAGGTTAAGTGTGCACAGACTTACCACAGCTCAGGTTGTTCTCAGCTTTGAGAGCCTGGGTTGAGATGCTCCAGAAGTCATTGTGCCAGTCCACAACATTCCCGGGCACACTACAGCTGAGGTTGGTGAGGACCTTTGAATCCATTGTGAAATTCCAGAGTCGAAAGTTATAGATGCTGCCCTTTAGAGAGGCAATTCCATCTCTGTCGGAGCCCAGCAGCAATGCCCCATCCCCAGGTATAACTGCACTCATGGTGGAATCACATGGAACTGTTTCATAGCTTTTCTTGAAATTTACACCCACGGAGCCCCAAGTATTATTCCACACAAGACAGAGCTGCTCGAAGTTTTCTGTGAAGATGTCTTCATTTTCCTTCAAGGGCAATGCACTGTTCAGCAAGCATCTCGAGTCAGAAATGGAGAGGAAGTAACCATTGTTGGCCTTCTCGAAACTGAGAAGCTGTGTGAGGGACTCGTCTGAGTAAGAGAAAGCTATCCAGTCATCATCTTCACTACCAACTTTGGAAGCTTCAAAGCAGAGCGTGAAAGCACTGAGCTCAGGAATGGAGACACTTTTTGCCACTGATACCTGGTAAGCATCTAATGTCTGGGGCAAAATGACCTTTTGATTCCGTAAGGACACAGCAACTAGGAAAACAAAAAACATAGAGTCATAACATAATTCCAGAATATGAGCCGAGATGCAAAACGTCTAGTGTCTCTCGGTTCTATACCGCTTCCTTCTAATTAACTTTTTACTTAATCTGTGAGCCTTTCCCATCCCCCTCTCTGCCTGTCTTTTATCACCAACCTTTCACCAATGCTCCTACATCAAAAACAACTATATGCAATCCCACCCAGTTCATCTTTAATTATGATTTCATTTCACAATGAAACGAGCGACAGCCCTGTTTGTATTTTTTAACTCTGTTCAAAACATTAATAATCAAAAAACAAAATTCCTGAATTAGAAAGACCTAGCTTCAAGATGATTTTGTTTGAATATTATGGATTTTTAAAATTTTTGTTTTTTAAAAAAGAAAACAAACTGTCTTTTTTCATTTTACATACCAATCCCAGTTCCCACTTCCTCCCCTCCTCCCAACCCCTCCACACCACACCCTATCCACTCCTCAGAGAGAGTAAGGCACATTGCTTTGGAGGAGGTCCCAGGCACTTTCTACTATATCTAGACTGAGTAAGGTACTTGAAATACACTATGTTTTACAATACTTTCTGAACACAACCTAGCTCTACTTGCACTAATAGTTGCCTGTTAACCCTCTTAAACACTTCCAAACAAATCTCATCCCGTCAGAATGTCTGTGCCCTCCTCTTTCCCTTATGCACTAGTTTTGTTTGTCCAATAGTAAAATTATTTTAAGGGAAGTATCTTATATAGCCAAACTAAAATCATTTCTAAATGGGTATGTTCATGATTTCTTGTGGGGAGGCGTTAGAATTACAGATTTTCATTATTACTAGAAAACCCCCGTTTTTTATTTTATTTTATTTTTATTTTACACTGTGCTGGCATGTGCCATGCCTGAAAGGAAAAAGCTAGCATGTCTCTGTGACTTTGAAGCCAGCCTGTTCTCTTTAGCAAGTTCCAGGCCAGACATGGCTATAAAGTAAGAACTGACTTTAAAAAAAAAAATGAAGCTGGGGGCGGTAGTGGTGCGTGCCTTTAATCCCAGCACTCAGGAGGCAGAGGCAGATGGGTCTCTGTGCGTTCAAGGTCAACTTGGTCTTCAAGAGCTAGTTCCAGGACAGGCTCCAAAGCTATAGAGAAACCCTGTCTCAAGAATCCAAACCAAACCAAACCAAACCAAAACAAAACAAAAAACAAAAAAACAAGCAAACAAACAAAAAATGAAAATAAAAGTGTTCTGCAGACCGACGATACAGAATTCAGCTCTTCTGAAACCAGCATTTGGATCTAGTAGTTCTAGTTTGCTGCTGAGGATTCTCAGGGTCTATTAATAGGTTCTCACCCTTAAGTTCTGACCCTGACTATTCACATTCACATGAGAGTGTCTGTCCTCCAGCTTGGTCTTTACCACAGCACATGCTAAATGGAAGCAGAAGCTTGGCACCATCCGTGGTTTACATACCTCTGATGTAGCTGGCGTTGAAACCTTTCTTCTGGATGCTAAAGTCACTTGAAAAAGACACATGCATCTCATTCACAGTTGAGTTAAATGACAAGCCTTTGGCAGTTGCTCCACAAAATTTTGTCAGGCTCTCTCCATTATCAAGGGATAGTGAGTCATAGATGCAATTGGGAGCTTCTTCAATGTCGAAGTCATTAAACGTTATCTGAATGATGTAGCCAGTAGGGGCTCGGAGGGTCCACGAGCAAGACTGGGTGTTAGGGTAGTCGTTAGGGTAGCATGGAGAAGCAAAGGTTCCGGAAGGATTGGATAGGACAATCCTGCAGTTGCTACATCCCCACACTGTTGGTTAGAAACAAGAGAGAGAGAAGGGCTGGGATCAGATTTTGAATAATAAAACAAGGATACCTTTTACTGGGGGTAATCAAACAGTAAACATTAAAAAAAACTCATGAAAATCAAGAGGAAGTGAAAGCATCTCAGGGAGGAAAAGAAATGCCGAGAGTATTCCAAAAAATAAAGACAAATACAAAATTTCAGAGAGCAAAGTTTGAAATTCTGAGAACCCAGCGAAGGGTAGAGGAACTCCCTCATGCTAGGGGCTCTGCAGGTACCACACATGGCAGATGATTCCAAAGAGTATACGAAGACTAAGGAGCCTTTGGGAGATCTCACTCAAGTTTGCCAGGTATGCTAGGAATAGCTACCTTAGAGAGACACTTCTGGGGACAAGGGGTATGAAACCATGCAGGTAGTACTCAATATTAAATATATATATATATATATATATATATATGTAGAGAGAGAGAGAGAATATATAAATATATAATATATGGAAATATATAAAGAGGAACTCTTGGGAAATAAATGTTGAAATATAAAGCAGAACAAAAGAAGCATAAAAAATTAGACAGGTTATCTTTTAGTAGTTTACCTTTCAAAATCAAAAAAACTCTTATCACTGTTAATTTTGCTTATTGTGGTTGGTGATTATCACTTATGTGATCATCTCGTTTACTCACACATTCAGCAAATATTTATTGCCTAGTACATGCTAAAAATTGTTCTATACAGAATACCAAAAATCAAGACTGACAGTCTTTACATGAAAGATTAACATTTCATGGTTAGATCTAAAGAATATCGAAAAGTGGTGTGAAAGTTTTAATTTTCAGATTGACACAATCCAGAATCACCCAGGAATACACTCCCAGCACAGGCCTGTCTAGACCAAGAGAGTCTGTGGGCTTGCTTCAGATATTGTCTTATTATGTAAATTGAGGTTGAAGGACTATCCAATGTGGGTGGCTCCATTCCCTAGACAGGACGCACTGAACTATATGGAAAAATAGAAGGAGCTGAGGACAAGCATGTGTCAACTAATCCATGCCTCTCCACATCTTCACTATGGACACAATGTGATCAGTTGTCTCAAGCCCTTGCTACTATGACATCCCTGCAATGATGGACGGTAGCCTGGAACTGTTAGCAGCATAAACCCATTCTCCACAAGTAGCTTTTGGTCAGGGCATTTCACCAGAGTCAAAGGAAACACAACAGAGACAAATGGTGACAAAAATTGGGAAGCAGAGTAAAACAAAGGAAAAATGTGATAAAGGAGACATTGTGCAGTTCTCCAAAGGTGGCATTTTAACAGATATCTTACTGAAGTTAGGGCACTTGTCATACGCCTTCTACGAGACAAGCAATTTAGCCAAAGGACACAGCAAAAAGAAGGACCATTGTCAAGGAATATTTTGTCTGATGTTGAACTGTCAGTTGTACAGGCCAAAGGCACGGTCTCCTTTGCACACCACTATTTTCTCAATGTGCCGGGGGAGCTCACAGTCTGTTACATGAGTGAATGTATGCATGTAAGAGAGTCTGGAATATTGAAGATCTTTTCTGGTATTCTGAACTATAGCCTGGCTACCAGCTGGAATGAGAAAACAAGGTCCCCTGAGTCCTCATCTACAACTGTTTCTTTAGTTAATATTCATGCTTTAAAAATATTTGTAGAGCCGGGCGATGGTGGTGCACACCTTTAATCCCAGCACTTGGGAGGCAGAGGCAGGCAGATCTCTGTGAGTTTGAGACCAGCCTGGTCTACAGAGCTAGTTCCAGGACAGTCTCCAAAGCCACAGAGAAACCCTGTCTCGAACCCCCCCCCCCAAAAAAATTGTAGAAATAAGGCTAACAATCTTGTTCACACAACATTCTAAATGAATTACTAGAAAACCAACACATGAAGCTTTAAATAATAACACCTTAATTCTACAGTGTAAACCGCTTCCAGGGGCAGCTATTACACGTGTCATTTATTCTTCTATGATTCAGTGATGCACTCAAAGCCTGAGAGGTGTTATCCTGCCCAAGTCAGGTTTTCCCTGCTGCTATTCCCAGGGGTTAGCTTGTGTTGTGCAGTTTTGTAAACTGTGTTCCCCATCCGGTAGGTCTAACCCTTCCTCTATTCTTTCTGAGTCTCTGACAGCTTGGGCATGGTCCAAGATAGAAAAGAGAAAACAAACTATGATTGTCAAGTGTCTGTCTGAACCTTCTCTTATCTCTCCCGAGAGCATCATGTTCCATGCCTGTCTTTGTAGCACTACCAGGGGAGGTCGTGTTACTTTCCTTGTGGGATTATTTGCTCACTGTCTGTCTTCTCCCATAAGTCTATAAACTCAACAAACAAAGGCTACTTACTTGGTAAGTTAGCTAGTCTTTTGGAAATACTCCAGGGTGTTCCTGACACATGAGACATCAAGTTTGTAAAGACATGAAAGAACAGTTTAAATGAACAGAAATACGTCCAAATTAAAGAATGACTACACACAGTGTATAAACCCAAGTCAAAAGAAATGCATGCTTGAAAAATGGGTGAAGAACGTGGGCTGTGGCACGTCTCTGGATAGGGTTAGGGACTCTTTCTTATAGTTAATTCATGCATAACTATGACTAAGATGACTGGGCCTCTCAGACAAGTTGAATTTCTTACACTGAATCTTGGGCTCAGAAAAGAAAGAAGTCATCCTAACCTATACTTTATACATAGTAATAGACACTAGAGTTTTAAAAAAGAAAAGCAAAAAAAAAAAAAAAAAAGAAGAGGAGAAGAAGAAGGAGGATGAAAAGAAGGAGAAGAAGGAGAAAAAGAATTTAACATGCAAGCAACAACAAAAAAACTCTACCAAGTTCTATGCTACTAGAGCATATTCAGACAGGGGCATTATTTATCTAAGATGAGATACATTTCCTGATATCTAAGACCCAAGTTAGATGCCACACTTCCTGCATTCACTCATCAAATTCTTCCCTAAAAGCTGATTGGAGAGTTTGAAGAATTAAAGTTTGACTTTAAAACTGTTTACATATATTGACCTAATTTTAAGAAATATTTGTGGTGTGTGTTTGTACATGTGTGTGTGTAAGTCTGTGTGTATGTGGGTATCTATGTGTGTCTATGTGTGCATGTCACAGTAAGCCTGAAAAGGACATAGGACAGCTTCCACTTTCCTTCCCCTGTGGGATCTGGGAATTGAACTCTGGTCCTGGTTTGTGTAAAAAGCATTTTTGTCCACTGAACCGTGCTGTTTGCCCCTGACCCAAGTTTGTGCCTCAGTTTCTCCTCTTTTGAACCACAGGTAATAAAGAACTAATACCACTCCCAAGGTTGTCAGGAGGGTGACACGGGTTAATAGTCAAGCATCTTGGGACTTGTGTAAGGCATGTGGTACTAACATTTAAGTGTTGAGTATCAAAACATTACTACAACTCAAAATCTATGCATAATTTACAACAGCTAAAATAGCACCCCCCTTGGTAGACTCTCTTTAGCCCTCGGAAAGTCATTTGGAAAAGAGACAAATAACATAGCAGTAAAGAAAATTAAAATTACTTTAAACCATCCTTCCACATGACCCACCTCCAGTGGCCAGACAGCATCCCCAGATAATGCTATTGCAAAGCCATTATCTCAATGGATGGAATATCCCATCAGTAACAATAGCAATATAATCATCAAAGTCAAAAATCACGTCACTATGAATGGTTTTTGCTATATATTTTCTTAATCAACATCATAACAACCACGGAAGCTATGCCCACTTCCACCTTTGGTTGAAACAAATACCACTTAAAGAGATTATGTAATGTTCTCAGAGTTACAGCTCTAATGTGCAGCACAATCAAAATTCAAACCAATTATAAAAAATATGAGCTTAAAAGATTTTGTGGAAAACAGATGAGCACAATGAAAACAGGGCAAAGTGGAAAAAGGAGATTAAGTTATTAATGGAAAAGTTCCAACAAGTAGTGTCATTGCATAATTTAAGTATAAACTTGAAATGTTAGAAGTTTTATAATATATTGCTTTTGATTTGACCATGGAGTTATCAAATGTTAGTTTATTCCTCTGCTGTGAATTATTCCATTAAAAAATTAATTTGTGACTGGAGAGATAGCTCAATGTGTAAAAAGCACTTGCTTTGCAATCATGAAGATGTTAGTTCAGATCCTCAGCATTCATGTTAATCTGGGTACAGTCACATATATCGATAACTTCATATGCTAGAACTCTAGAGACAGGTAGGTCATGGAGGTACATTGGCTAGTGAGTCTTCCTGAAATAACAAGATTCATTTTCAGTGAAAGATGTTCTAAGTTTGGGAAGTAATAAAACTCCCAGCATCAACTTCTGTCCTAAACATACGCAGCAATGAATGTACTCCTATATACATATGCACCCACAAGCATACCCCTCTCTCTCTCTCTCTCTCTCTCTCTCTCTCTCTCTCTCTCTTTCTCTCTCTCTAACACACACACGCACACTCACACACACACACCATCTACACACATGTATATACAAGAAATTAATATATTCTCTTATACATAAGTCTTATAGAAAAGTCTTCCTAACAAGCTGGCTACTTAAGTAGCCACTGAGTGGGTCTTTGGTAAAACCACAGTTAAAATGTCTCCTTAAAAAATCTACCCAAGTAAAAGTCTCCAGCTTACTGTGTTCTCAAAGACATATATAGCACTGTGTTCTTCACTCTGGTTAATAAAAGAAAAAATGTTTTCAGGTAATGTTAACAATAACAAACCAAAGCCCACACTTAGCTCTTTGTGTGTGTGTGTGCGCGCGCATGCACACGCGCCTAAATAAATGCCTAGCACTAACTGGACAGTACCTTATGAAAGCTTATTCTTCAGTTAGTCTTAAACCATCATCAGGAAACCTGTGTGCCAAAACTCTCCTCAAATAGCACTTGAGGAAAGACTTACTGACTAAATAAGCAATTTTCATTAAATTTATTTACTTTATTTCTGTGTGAATGCTTTGC